GGTAAACTTTGTTTTCTTACCAAGATTAGGATCAAACAACGCGGCTGTTCCAGTTTTTGTTCTCGTCTTTCTTAATTTTAATCCCCTATTATGTTAATTGTTGTATTTGTCCTCCCACTCTTTGATTTAATATAAATTAACTGGACAACTAAATGTGTGGTAAGATTGTTCACAATGTATTATGCAAAATACATCAGATTGTTCAAATAAACATCTAGTCTTCTTTTAAAAATTGTTTACTTAAGCTCCTTCTCAATCTCTGAAATAAGTTTAGCCTTAGAATTACCTGTTGTGTTTCGGTTGCACTGCTGTGCATCTCGAATATGCATATTTTTGTCAAATATTTTGATTAATATCATTCATTAACTCCATTTTTATTGATTTGTTAGATTTATCTCATAGTGTACCAGTATTGTTTACTGGATTACGCTTCAGACATAACTTATTGTCCATAGTCATGTCAAGGTATTGTTTGTATAGACCTAATTTCCTCGTCCCTTTGTGAAATGGGTAGTAAGATTTCCCATAAATCCGGAACAAGTGCAGTTATTCCTGTTGCATGTGTTAGGTGTTGATTCGATAAACAAAGATTCAATTATCAATCTCTCCCTCCATTCTGTTATGTTACTTTTAAAAATGTTCACCCTATCCCATCCTATTGTGTGGTTGTGTGTAATCGCATGCATAGTTATGGCTGAGCTTTTTCTAAATTCCTTACCTTACTAGGATCTACCAATTTTGACCTAGCTAGGTTTTTGTGTTCCGATAGGCTTATTGACCCTGGTCGACAACTTTCACCTATGTATTTGACCTCGGAATCATTGCAAGGGATTTAGCAAACCAAGTTATTCTTCTGAATTGGGTCAATAGGATCTTTTAACCTACAAAGATTATTTCGAATTGAGTTTGTAGGTTTAAATGCCACTCTAATCCCAGCCAGCCTTATTGAGAATTCTGTGTAGTGTTTTTGAGGTGCCTTCTTTGTATGGTAATACTGTGGAGGTTTTGAGTTCTCTATGCACAGTATTGCCGCTAATATTATTAACATCATTATCAACACTATTATTACTACTATTAGTAATTGTGTTACTGATATTTTTCTTACAATTCCTAAGGAGACGAAGATTATGTGAAACATGTGATGTATTAGCGCTATACATTTCGAACAATTTGATCACACATGCATTTCTCGAACTATTTATGTGAAAATTTACGAAAGAGGCCAATGAAGTTACTAGGAAACATTGGAAGGGAGAGAAAAATAAAAAAAACCTTACCCTTCGTATGAAAACTAAAATCAACACTGCCAAGGTAGGTTCAACGTGAGTACGAATTGTTTTTATATACATAAAGGGGGTTTAAATTTACGGATGGCAAGAGCTTCAATAAATTTAAGCACTCGGCTCTGACCACTTTTATGTAGTACTTTAAAGGCTGTTTTCGTGTCTATCCTATGGTTAGTTTAAATTTATCAAAGGGATCAGTCACTTTAAATTCCTAAGGAGCTTATCAATTAATTCAGAAGGGTAAATGTTGGTGAAAAATAATCAAAATTTTGATTATTTCCCTGAAGAAGCTCGGACCAGACTTCCGTACGAAACGTTGGAATTATTTGATTTCGAACCTTCTGTGATTTACACAAATAAAATTCTATGTATAATGTTACTTGTACTGTTTAGAACTATCTTCTTTACCAGAATGTGAAAGTGTAGTAAATTAATTAGTGTGTAATATAACTTGAAATCGGCAAAACAGTTGCATCAAACACTAGATAACTGGTTTGACAATGAGACCTGTTCAGCATCTGATATTACAAGTCAAACTGTATAACAGTGAGTCTAAAATCTTCTGCTACAAATCATCCAGTGTGAGTCAGTTATGTAATCGTAGCTACACCTTTACGCTAAGCAAAATTCATCAGTAGATTGTATTTATTATTGTTATTATTATTATTATTTGTCCCTTGGGTTCCTAATGGAACATAAGGCATCAGTAGCACATCTCCAATGCGCTCTGTTCTCTGAAATCTTTTGAACCTTGTTCCACGACAGCCCACAAGCTCTTATTTCCTCTTCGCACGATCTTCATGTCACCCTCACCTCGGACGCCCAACTCGTCGCTTCCAATGCGGGTTCCACTTGACGACCTGACCTGGCGCGTGATGTCCCCAGTCGGCCTTCTCAGTGTATGACCAATCCATCTCCACTTCCTTCTGCAAATTTGCTGGGTGATAGGTTCTTGGTTGGTTCGTTCCCAGAGCTCCTTGTTGCTTATTCTTTCTGGCAATCCATCTGATCTTCAGTAGCGAGCGTAAGCAGTTGTTGATGAATGTCTGTAGTTTGTTGGAAATGCCTTTCGTAACGCGTCGAGTCCCCAAACCATACAGGAGCACCGACTTCACATTGGTATTGGAAATTCGGATCTTGTTCACGCTTTATGCTGAGTGCAGTGCGGTAGATCTCCACACTGGTTTGAGGCTAATGAATGCCTGTCTTGCTTTTCCGATTCTGACTTTGACATCCTCATCTGTGCCGCCTGTAGTTGAAACAGTGCTTCCTAGATAGGTGAAGGAGGTTACTTCCTTTAAGTTTCTCCCGTTGATGGTGATTGGAGTTTGTTGTTGGTGCGGTATGTTCATCACCTCTGTCTTATTTATATTCACCTGAAGTCCGGTCTTCGCTGCCCTGCCTCTTCTGCCAACTTGTTGGTTTTCGCATGTAGATCTTGAAGTTTGTGTGACATCAAACACAAGCCATCGGCGAAATCCAAGTCTTCTAGGTTCTTTTCCGCAGTCCAGAGTATCCCCCTCTTCTCGCTCCTCACTGTTTGTTGCATGATACATTCGATTACAACCAGGAATATCATGGGTGATAGTAGACAGCCTTGTTTCACTCCTGTCGTCACTTCGCTTCAAAGGCATCACTGAGCTGTCCATTGTGAATTACTTGGCATGTAGCGTCTTCATATAGTTGTTGAATGAGGTTGACAAAGGTTTGCGGTACTCCGTAGTAGTGAAGCAGTTTCCAAATTACTTCTCGGTTGACGCTGTCAAAGGCCTTCTCAAAGTCGATGAAGTTGAGGTGAGGTAGAGGGTTGACTGCCATTCTATACTGTGTTCTATGATGATGCTTAGTGTAGCGTTGCAGTTTGGTGCGCACATGATTTGTACTTCCTGAATCCAGCCAGCCAGCCAGCCTGTTCTGGTGGTAGTTTTGAATCCAGTGCATCTTTATTCTCTGCAGGATGATGCTGCTTAATATTTTGCTTGCACTGGGTGGGCAGGAGCGTGGTTCATTGCCAGTTCTTGCCGTTCTTCGGGAGTTTGACAAGGTAACCCTTCTTTTAATCACTAGCCAGGTACCTTTACTTCCTTCCAGACTTTCTGCAATAGTGGTGTGAGCATGTCCAGTGTTGTCTCTACGTCTGTTTTAAGTGTTTCTGGCGGGAATCCATGTGGTCCTGCTGCTTTCCCGCATTTCAGTATTTAGACACCACTAATTATTCTGAGTTAAATGCAAACTGAATCCTACACTACCTAACTAACTAACTAAAGGTTATTCTTCTAGTTATAAAATAGTTACAACCAACAATTCTTATAAGGTTGTCGGCTGTCTGTGATATTTTTTTCTCATTTTCGATTTACTATGCAACACTGTCAACTTGTAAGTTGTAGCCTAATTAGCAGTATCATTAGTAAGTAGTATATGCAGATATATGTCTGACTGGTTTGTGATAGAACGAGAGTAGTCTCTTGAAATCCTTTATTTGCCATCAATCAAGAGATATAGTATTGTTTGTTGAGATATATTTACAGGAATTATTTAAGGTAGTGAACTCAATTCGTTAGCTTTAGAGAGTTAATACCTCAAATGAAAAGGGTTTAGTTATGCAATATAAAAGCCTATGTATAACCAAAGTCTGAAAGTGTTGGAGTGAATGCAGCCTGGCCAACCTTTAACTCAGGCTCACTTTGTAACTTTCAGGTTTTAACCCGGACCAACTTTGGGCGCCTGGTTAACTAGTTCATTAGTTACTAGCCGATCCTAAGCCTGGATAAAGAGGGAAAGTTGGGCGTAGGGCTAGCAACCCTACCCCGGAAAACCAATTCAACCGCTAAAGAAACTTCAAAGCATAAAGAAAATATAAAACATAAAAACAAACTTATTTCTCGCTGGAATCGGGACGACGAAATGACGCTGGTTGGTGAAAGCTTTTGGGCAACCATTCCGCCGATGTGTCTTCGCTCGATTAAACCGAAAGTAAGATTGGGGACATGGAGTATCCGCACCATATATGAACCTACCAGGGCTGCCGCGCCAGGCCCTCGAGTGGAATCCAAAGGGGAAACGACGAGTTGAACGTCACAGCTGACGGTGACATGCAAGAGATCATATGAGGAAGAAGTGAAAGCTTGTGCGCAGTCCTGATGCCAGGTTGAAAAGACTGTGGAGAACAGAGTGCAATAGAGACGTGCTACTGAAGCCCTTTATTCCACTAGGAATCCTAAATTTCGGGTATATCCCCTAACGTTTGCAATTATTTCCATTGATCATTTCCATTTGATTGATTTCTAGTACACAAACACATCCGGCAGTGAAACGTGAACGATATATTTCATTATGTTACCAAATAGGGCTTCTTATAACTGTATATCTTGGTTATTCTAGAACTTAAGGCACCTAGGTGGGGTACATTATCAGTATCTCATCAAATAGAACAAAATTGCATCGTCTTTCTTAACAAGCAAGTTGTTTTGGAAGCAATACATTTAGTTCGAGTGATTAGTCAACTTCAAATTCGAACAATCTATGAAGATTTTCCGGCTATTTCATCACTCTTGGTCATTGATGTCTTTTCCCTGTTTCCTTGCAAACCACTTTACGCTGCAATGGTGCAATGCATTACAAATTGTTCAAAAAACAAATGTTTAAGGATTGAATTATGTTTTTCCTTCATATTTTAACAGAGCAACATGGTTTTTGGTTTGGATAAAAATTGTTTTATATAAAGTCCGCATAATTCATTCCGTCTACATGAGTAGCATTACACAGTTGAACAGTCTGAAATACAAACACATAATGTTACGATAAATAAATTCTTGATTATACTAGAAATGATAACTTGATTGAATGACAAATGGATTTTTATGGAATAGAAGTTGGGGTAGAAAACGATGACCTATGACATTTCTATGAGTTACTTATCGCACCAATTGTGTAATAAAAAAATGAAGTGACGTTTTTCAAGCTTGAATGACGTTGATAATCTTATGTCAGGCTTTAGCAACCCAAAGAGAAGGTAAGATGAACAATAAAATGCTGATTACTATCAATAATGGGCTACTGAAATGTTCGAAGCATATACCTATGAACTTCTCACGGAAACATCGTACTCTAAACTAAGCTTCCACTTGGAATATCATAGTGTCGACTGTTTCTACTTTATCTAGGAGATTTTTTATCCCTACCTTTTTCCTTTAATTTTCTCTGACTTTCATTTGCGGTTTACTTGTTTTCCAATCCTAAGTTATACCACGACTTTTTTTGGAAGGGGTTTAAATGGATCTCAGTAACTTTCTCCTTGAGTATGAACTTTGTTACAGCAGTGACAACCTCGTCTACAGTGTGCATTCAATGAAGCATATTGCTCACGAAATTTAACCGTATGAACCGGCTGAATCGTTTTGTGCTTTCTTGTGTGAATCTTATAAGATCATCCATTCACTGTGGACATGCAGGGGCTAAGCAGACCGTGCAACAGTAAATTGATCAGGTATTCTTACTATGAAAGGTCAATCAGCTGTGAACTTATACTCCACGAGAATGAGAAGAAGCTTAAATACATAAGTACAACTATCTCCACGTATGCACCTGACAAAGTAATCGCAGTTAAAATGAAACCAGGATTGATTGTTGAAACGGTGGATAATGGGTTACCTTGACTCTGACAGTATTAAGGACTTCAGGGAGATCGAAAACACGAAGTCATTAGTTGTTATCTCCGTTGACGACTTTCATGCAGACTTCCCACTCGTTACGGAGGATAGTTTTGATATCCTGAATGTCTTTAAAGGTTGAAAACTTTTGTGAAATAGTTTTAGGTTACAGTTGATCAAATTGAAATTTTCAGACAGCAAAGACAATGTCCGGAATGCTAAATGTAACAGTCATTTTTGAAAATTATAGTGAATTCAGTGTTAAAACCAGGTCTAGGACTGCAGCTCACTGTGTCGCGTGCTTCACGAAAAGCTGGGATCCTGAAATACACCTTCTGTAAAATTACAAGGTGTAAGATTCACATTCATCACTATATTTCCTTTGGCCATAATCACTTCAAAGCTTGTAGACATCTTGCTTAACCAAATACAGGTTGATGGGATTATGGACGCGTCTACTAAGGCAAATTTCTAAGAAGTAGGATGTCTAAGAAGGTTTCCTTCATTTTTCAAACTTAGTGGTGGCCGCAAAAGGGATCCATCTCTCCATAGAATATTCGTAATATGCATGAAAAAAATGGGTGAATGAAGACATTTTCACCATTGAGTATTCCTTGTAAATATTATTTGGCGTAATAAATACCTGCAGCATCATCCTGAGTACTTCATCTCAATTTTAGATGAACTCAGAAGCTGATCAGTTGGTTTTCATTTCATATTGTCGAATTAGTCAGTGTTTCGGGTAATGATTCAATCTTTGACCATTTTGAGATAAAACAACGTTAAAGTTGTTTCATTTTACCTTTATGGGAGGTAAGTTCTTGCCTCTAAGGGATGATGGTATGCAGTGTAATAATTACAGCAAATTGTACTACAAAATGTACACCATACTAAAGCCAGGTGATCATGCTATCAGCAAACCGAATTCATTATGGGTACGCAAAATGCCGTGTTCATCCAAGTCCTGCATATTAGAGGAAGCTAAAAAGAATTAGAACTATGGCTGTAACACTCTGTTATGTATTAATTAGGAAGAACGGTTGTACTGAAAATAATCGGGTTCATTTCAAGGTGTTTAGTATCACTGGACACCGAGCCTAGGCGCACACTGATGCGATTAATTTGGATTAACAACTGAATCTCACTCAGTGTGTCAGTTGTAGGTTCTAAGCGCATCAACAGGAAACTGGATTCTGTTGATCATAAAGCGAACAAGCTGAAACTCCCATTGAAATAACCAGTCCAAGTAATCAAGGTTCTGATGTAAGCTCAAAGGTATCAAATGCCACAGAAGAGGTTTCAGCCTACCTTGACGAAACTGTTTAAGAGTCTTAGACTTCTACCATGAATGTTTATACAATGCCGGGATTACACTAGTAAAAATACATGAATGTATTCACTAAGGAAGTAGAAGGCATAAACAATGTACATGCATTTATGTAGGTTTGGACAGTCGGGTACTGAAACCTGGTGTTCTTAAAAGTAAGAGTAAAGAACCTTTCCCGTTTGTTATTTCAAGTGGTCAGTAGGTATTATTCATGTATTGAACAAATTCTGTCATTCCTTCAGATTTTTATACTGACCATAGACGTCCAGTGGTTGACTGCTTTCTGGTCACTCTGACTAGTTTAGTTGCTATGCTTTTGGAAAAGACTGTCGGTAATGCCATTCTGTTGCATGCAGAGGTGAATAGGCATTTAGCTGTGGGTTGTGGTTGTGCAGTAATTTCTGATAAATCTCATCATTCCAAGAGAGGATTTGGCTGCTACCAGTGACGTAAGTATTCCAACTGGTATAATATTTATCGACTTCAGAAAAACTTTTGATAAGATTTTTCACCTCTATCTCCTAAAGAAGCTGAAAAACTTTGATACTGATAATGTAGTTTAGATCACAGTCAAAGATTGGCTTTACGATAGTAGGCAGACAATGACGGTAACCGAAATTTTGTCTTCTTGGAAACCGGTAAAGAGTGGAGTATCTAAAGACCCTTTCTTGTATCCACTTCTGTTCATACTCTACCTGAATGGGTTGCGTTGGGGGTAATAGATCTTCCATCTACATGTTTTCAGACGATGGAGAGCTCTGGAGACTCATTCACATTGATGAGGACAGGCTACTTCTACAAGAGGATATGAATGCTGTTGTGGTTAATACCAGTTACTCGAAAACTGACGTATTTTATCTCGTCCCTATTCTACTATAAAATAACCACATTTACAACAATCCAGTCAAAGCTCATATCTTATGAACTGACTGTTCTGCAAAAAATCTTCTGTGGAAGGTAAAATTCTAACTTGGTCACTACCATCGTTCTCCAAACAGTAAACGGTGTAGTAAGTCTATCTGTCTCGATCAGTTGCTGTAGCTCAGGTTGCTACATCTGTAGCACTATATATTTCAGTCGATCATAAACCCTGAGCTTGTGAGTAAATTTTGGCATTCATTAGAGTCGTAAGACTAGAGGACTGAGGGTAAGGTTGATAACCTATTTTTGTATTACCAAAGATTATCATCCTTACCTTGACTTACACATTTTTGTCTGCTTTTCCCTTACTTTTTCTCTCATCTAATTATTGAAATGCATAGTAACAATGCATTGGTAAGATCTAGCAGCAAAAATACCTCATGTAGTTTCACTAAAGCTACTGCCTACCAGTTTCTCATTGGAAAATGAACCTGGAGCTGTGTAAAAATATCCCGAAGAATCCTTGCTCATTATCTTGGTCAAACTAAACCAAATAATCATGAACTTTAATGTCCCAGAAAAGTTAATTCCTTATCCCTCACAGCACTCAGAGGGCCACTGTTTTCAGTCAGTGAAATGCAAACCTTACTGCAACACGTAGCTCAAACCCCAACCTGCCTATAAAATCGGCCAAGAGGAAACGACAGAACGAAAAGAAACCCTCTGGCTATGTGTTTTGTCCATGATGACGAATGCCACACATGTGGTCTCATTGTATCCGAAATGACGCAGCCTTCATGTGTTTCCTCTGTAACAGATGTGAGCATTGTCAATGTGGTAAGGATTTACCAGACCAATATTATGCTTTCGCGCCAGTGCCCATGGAGGTGGTCGCGGTTCGTCGGCCCAAAGTGCCACATAAAATTACTTCTAGCTACAGGCTCGTTTAAAGAAGCTATAAATAACTTTTCAGTAGTTATTGAAATCCAGATATCCTCCAAAACCACTGTCGTGAAAGATAGTCTTAAGACTAAGAAAGTCAGTGATACTCAACGGACAGTTATGCTTATGAATAATCTAAAGATGGCCAAATGACTGCCAACCATACCAGCCCTAAGCCGTAAAGCCACTCTGGTGGCAACCACTGCTGGATATCGTAAAAGATGTGTAACAATGGAAAAGAGGGCAAAACTTGTCCATTAAAGCCTACCCATTGCAGATGGTAACAAAAATGTCCATTATCGATCAAATTCGATCATCTTATTTAACGTTCCTGTATGTGATGATAAACTTGAGAAAAGAGAACTCTTTGACAAACAGCCTCGGTACACCACATGCTGAGCACTGGGACTAGGGAACTTAGAGACAAAACTGTGCAGCCTCTACAGAGGTAGTCATTCATCTCCAGGGAAACCGGAGTTGAGTGTGTTCCTGGGCTCGAATAAGGAAGCCAAAGGGTTCCTTGCCTTTGCACACTGGTTATCAATCGGTTATTCAGCACAAATGCTAGGCCGAACCGGCCATGTTCGCCAAGCAAGATCCCTGCGAAGTACCTCATGTGCAAAGACCAACAAACATGGTCGTCCACGGCATACAAGAACTAACAACAGATACACCAAGAGGAAAATATAGTCATGGCGTTTAATAAAGGTAGTGATTACTAGAACAGATGAAGTTGGGCGGGTTAGAGGTGATGGTGATTTGTAGGCTCTCACGTTCCCGGACCTGACAATAATGGTGTCACTTAGATTACTAGCTGTCACCTTCAGATGCTCGGAGCCCCTAGCAGGAGTGCTACATGCGTGGTACACAGATAAGGACATTATCAGCAAGAATGCGAAAACAGTAAATGATGGTTACTATCAGTCCTCAGACCATCATTGTTATACATAGACGACGTTCAGATTAACAACCTTGACTCAGTAGCGACTCCAGAAACCAGTGTGGGAAGCATGCATAGGCTGGTTCCATTGGAGCTGGTAACAACTTTCATTACTACCCACAACCCTCTACTGTCAGCCACCACTAAAACACCGTATGTCACGGGATGCAGCTCTAAGTGCTTTCAAAACAGTGTGAGGGGACTTAGAGGAAAGATGATGGAGCTAGAATCTTCCTGTTCCCACTTTCCTCCAAAAATTGTAATCCTGATGGAAAATTGATCATCGGCGGATATGAGCGATATTGAAGCAAATATAGACGGTATATTTATGTTCAGGAAAGGAAAAGCACAAGGAGGATGTTATAGAAGCTGTATACTTACCCAACCAGTTCAAAAGCCAACAACCCACTGACGCTGTACTGATAGTTCCCAGACTCAATCCGGTACCAGTTTAGGGTCGAAAACACTACGTGTTTGGTGGGAGGACTCTATCGACCCTCTCCTAGTGACGAGGAACAGGATCGACAATGACTGCGACTAATATCCGTAATGACAACTATCGAATACGACTGGGTTATAACAGAGTGGGATTTTAACACCCCGACCACCAAGCTAGGGCAGGACAGTGCTGACTTCCAGTCGGATTTTCAATCGGAACCTGCTAAGCACCAAGGAAAGTGCTGCACTGTATAATAAATTTGACGATGAACATGTTGAAGACTGAGGGGAAAGCCATGAAAACTAAACTGTCTTTTGACTTGTAACCATCTTTTAGTAGAAAAAGCTCAGGTTCAAACTCATCTCGGTAGCAACGATCGCACAACGACAGTGTTTGATTTGGTAATTAGAAAACAACTAACACAGGAAGTGATCTTGCCCTTTTATTAACGACCGCTAGGTAATTTGCATAGTGATGAACTAATGTTTGTTGATAGCTCTATGGTCTCAGGAGTGAAGTTCCTTATCGATTGATTATCAGTTGGGGAGATCATTTTGTGACGATTTCTTCAAGGTTGCCATGGAAAAACTCAGCTTTTCATTATTTAATTGGTAATTGTTATTCTGGTTTAAGTTATATAGAAGTATATGAGATAAATAGTTTTTCATAAAAGTTTTGGATGGAAGTTGGTTTAATTTGAGGGTTAACTTTTAGTTGTCACAGAAACGTAATAACTGAGGTTTTATCTAGTTTCTAATTAGGGTTTGAAAGTCCCATTCTTTAGACTGTTTATTTCAACCATTAATAATATTCGACTCACTTAGTAGGCTTCGTTTCTTACTAAGTGATAGAAACGCCATATATTTTTATTGGTGCAGAGTATGATGAAAGTTACATCGTTTATGTCATCTCAATGGGTTCCTTCGAAAAGTGTGCCTAAGAAACCGTACGTGAATGGTAGTTGATACATAAAAGATAAACAGTTCAACATAGTAATAGATAGATTAACAAATCAATGAAGGCCGGGTCGTTCATCTAGGGGTAGTTAGTTTTAATTCAACTATAGTTCGGTTTTCGTCTAAACTTCACTTAGCTTCTTCATGAAATTGCATAGGTCAGAAGAATTGTGAAGCAACTTCCCTCTTACAAAGTGTTTTTAGGAATTGTCCTAGTGCGAGCTTAACAGACGCAGAGGTCAATCACTAATTATTCGTACTTATTATATACTCACGAATACGAGACCAAAAAAAAACACAATAGCGTAGTCGGATGGAATAGTATATTTCGGAGGTCGGGTCAAGATACTAATGCGTTCCAACTAACTGGCTAAGGGGCCGATTACGAGCAGTACAACGTAATACTACAGCGTGCTAAATGGTGAGGATGCTTGACCGGGTACCTTCAGCTTAAGGAGTTTGGTAAAACTATCTAGTTCAGCATCAATGTTGAATCTCGTCGAACCCTAGGCTATTGATTCTGGAGAAGTGTGTGACGCTACATGTTCACGAGTTTTTTCAAGCCAATTTTCCTCAGCTCAGTCTGACTACCTTAAAATACTAGTTGATGGAATTCATTCACTAGTTGGAACCATTGTAAAGGCCTTGTTCCGTTTGTAAGTTATAGTTTATTATTACACGTAAGTACATCCTATATACTTGTTGAGTCATCGGCTGATGTTTTTCTCTTTCTGTTTTCCCTTCGAGATTCTCGTGGTTATCACTAAACTCACACTGTTCTACGCACCTTACTGCAACAGTGTACCTCTCTACCTACCTACCAACGGAAATCTATCAAAAGTTGGTCGTTACATCATTTAGCAAAACCTCAGTTATTCTTTGATGATGAATTAACATATTTCATCAGTTTTTTTGCACATTTAATCACCTTCAAGAAAGTTTATCAATACTATTTATCATTATTCTAATTATTGATGGAAGCTACAGATACACATTGATCACGGTAACTAACACAAGTAAGAAATCTTAGTCTCTGGCATCCTACTTTCTGTTACAATCCAATAAAAATTAACTTGTAGCAAAGGTATATTATGACTTTATCATTAAAGTAACAAGTTCATTAGATGTATACAATTATTAATTCTCATAGTTGAAAAAACAGATTGTTAAAAACCTTATTTAAGAAAACTGAACATCATAAACTCTTACCTCGCAAACGAAATGGGGTTCCAATATATGTTTAACTACATCAGTGGCTTCTTGATAGAATTTATCAAGAAACTGAGTACACTAAAATTAAAATATTTAAAAGGATAAAAAAAGTAAACAACTTCTTTTTAGAACATTAAAGTGAAGTATAACAGATTGAAATGAATAGAAGAAAGCGGATGTAATGATTGAATTAATTCATGAAGGAAAATTGAAATGTAATAACCAAATTATTTCTTATTAGTTGATACTCAGTTACTGAGATGATCCATTTAAATCGATTGAAAGACGACCATTTAAGCCTAATAGTTAAAGTAAGGAACTGACTGACAATTTAGTGCAATGTTAATGATGGATCGTGGCTAGCAGTAGAATCTAGGATGTGATCGTGCCTCAGTGGTGTAGTCGATAACGTGCTGGCGTTCCCGGTGGGAACAATATCACTCATTGGGAAGCAGATACATCCAGCTGACGAGTCTCAAATAGGACGAAATGCGCATCCTGGATTCCACTACTAGCCACTGCCTATCATTCCTATACATAATTAAAACAGGCAATATTTAGGTATCCGCACAGGAGCCTATATGCCAATAGAGACCGATCAATTCGGTCCAATCAGCGACGGTATCATAGAAAAACAATTATCCTAATTTAGTGGAATGTTAGATCTTATCATTAGCTAATTGAAACAAGTTGATTAACTATATAGGTGTTAAAAATCAGTCAGTATAAATCATACTACAATATCTTATGATTCAATCCATCAGCTTCAGCTTATACGATAATTTTGCATAAGGTTTGAATAAAAGTTTACAAGCGCCTACCGTTGAAGTATTTCAGAAAAGAATAAAACAGTTGAAGAAGTACTCTATACCTTTCTATTAGATATACAGTTTATAGTCACTTTCAGTTTAAATAAACTGTCATCAAATTAAACGCTGAATGTAAGCACTTATGAGAAACGGTGTTTTCAACTGAATAATCAAACTTTTCTCTACTTTCGTAAAAAATTACATTTTTTACGTGAATTTCGATTTTCTCTTGGCCAGACATAAATTACGTAAGATGAGGGGGTAGAGTCAGAGGTGAAACAGATTTATGTTGTTAGATTCTCTAGGGTGTTCTAGTCTTTTTTACTTGAATAGACTAATTCAGTACATGTCTAATCAATTCACAGTCCAGTCTATTATTCTGATGATTTAAAGCATAAACCTAATTTTTAAGCTAGTATTCATCATAGACTGACATCAGTTGGTGAACCATTGGAAACTTGCAAGGACTAGCTAGGTGTTTCTTCATAATATGGGACTCCTCACCAATGCTAGCCAATGACCTCGTGAGGATCGAACCCACGACTTTTAGATATGGCGGCGAATGAGTTAACCGTCAAGCCACTTCCGAATGGTTGACGTTAGAGGGCACGGTTTCTAATCAGTACTTCGGGATCTCCGTCACGAAGTACGCTTCAAGATTAACTATTAACCAATCAACAATCTAAATAAATCAAAACTATCTAAGATATTTAAGGTTCATCAGCCTTTATATTTATTATCATTTTGACTATCTGAGATGGCCGTGGTTTAGGAGACTAATAATTATACTGGGTGATGATTGAAGGTGAAATGAAAATTTAGACCGCGGTGGGATTCGAAGCAGTGATCGCCAGGTTTCCGGTTCTATACTCTACCATCTGAGCTACGAGACCTGACTACTGACCAGATTTTCATTTCATTTCAATCAACAAGGGTTTCACCCAGTATTTTACATTTATAGCAAGATGATCAGAAAGAAGAATATGTAAGCCTTAAGCAGACTGTGCCCATTGCCTTCCCTACTAATTGAACTAAAATAGCTAACTGTTTACTAGTTATTATATAAGTTAAGGTGCGAAGATATCAGAGATGATACTGTTGGTATTTAGACATGCACACCTATTAAGCAGTATGAAATTAGTTGCTAAGGTTGAAAAACATGGATAAACAGCTCGTGCTTATTGATAAGCAGATAGTCACATAATCAACATTTGCATATCTACTAAATAAAGCAATAAGTAATTACAATATAATTATTTCTTGTTATTAGATATATCTTGCTGTTGAAATAATAGATTGTCTAAAACCGTGAGACAGTGTGCCATGAAGTAAAACTTGGGAACTATGGAAGATTGTGGTTAAATATATTCCACAGTGAAACAGTAGTATTTACTAGATAACATTTCGGATGCATCTAGCTGAAATACAACTTTTTTCATCATACTATTTTTATAGTGACTGACAGAGAAATTCAGAACAAGTATTTATTTCTGTCATTGGTTGGATGTATTGCTTTTCAATGTTGGTATGTTCACTGAGACCCTATATTGGCGTCTATCGCTTCTAAAGCTGGACCATAATACCGTTGCCAACTCATATACGAAATCTGCTTATTTCTCAAGAGGTATAAGTTGTAATTAGTTTTTCAAACTCCTCATTGTTTTATTATCAGGACTTAAGTGATCAGTATCTATTAACATATTAGCTGTTTGTACAAAGGTACCAACATTGCTTTTTAATAATGAATTTCTTAGTTAGTATCTAAAAACATAATATCAGGATTAGAAAACCCTAGAATAAGGACTGGATCATGCAACAAACTGTGAGAAGCAAGAAGAAGAGCATACTCTGCTTGGACCAATGAAAAGACCCTAGACGATTTGGGTTGTGCCAATGATGATTTATATCTAATGTCGGATAAGCTCGAAGATCTACCGGTCAAAACGAGCAAGTTAGCAGAAGAGGTGAGGCAGCGAAGACGGGACTTCAGGTGAACGTAGAGAAGAAAGAAGTGATGAAGATACCCAACCAACAACAACAATAACAAGCACCAATCACCATCGAAAGGAGAAATCTGAAGGAAGTTGTCTCTTTCACAAATCAAGGCAGCGTAGTCTCAACTACAGGCGGCAGCACAAATTAGGAAAGTCAGAATCAAAAAGACAGCAAGACAGGCCTTCCTTCGTTATTCTGAAGTAATCATTGTGGAGATCTACTGCACTGTATTGCACTGCACTCAGCATTAAGCGTGAACAAGATCCAAATTTTCAACACTAAGTCAGTCAAGTCAGTGCTTCTGCATGGTGGACCAAAGACTTGGAGCATTACGAAAAGCATTTCCAACAACCTGTAGATATCATACATCAGCAGCTGCCTACGCTCACACGATACTGACAATGAAGATCAGATGGCCAGAAAGAATAGGAATAAGCAACAAGGAACTCTGCTATAGTAACGAACCAACCAAGAACCTATCGTCCAAAAAATGTGCAGGAGAAGATAGTGGAGATGGATTAGATTGGAGATACATTGAGCAAACCATTTGGGACATCACGCTCCAGGCCAGGCCGTTGAGTGGAATCCAAATGGAAAAGGCCGAGTTGGATGTCCGAGGGTGACATGGAGGAGATGATGTGAAGAAGAAATGAAAGCTTGTGGGCAGTTGTGGCACCAAGTTGAAAAGACTGCAGGGAAGAGAGTGCAGTGGAGATGTGCTACTGGAACCGTATGTTCGACTAGGAACCCAAAGGACAAATAATAAGAATAAGGAGCCTATATGCCTATAAGAAATGATCATTTTTGTTCTCAAAATAAAAAATGATAGCAAAGTTAAATCTCTGAGTTTCTCTATCTATAGTTATGTATAAAAAATTACATTACTCACTTGTACTTCTAATTTTAGGTTATCACACGCGTGTACTAATACGGATTGGATTTCTGTAACAAGTGCATCAGATAGAAGAATATTCTTGCCCTCTGCTACACCCAACAAGCAAACTGGACAAACTGTTAGGTGAATAGTTAGAAAAATAAATAAGTAAACAGGATGAAACTATGCTTTCTTATCGTACTAAATTTTGTTTTTGAAACAGTAACTTAAGAACAAACCAGTAATAAAGTGAAACTTAAAGGTTGATGATTCAAATTTCTTAGTAATTCATGCCTTATTCACTACATCATCTACGTCAATGAACCTTATGCTTTGGTATTCGATATAACCGATTTCATTGAAAAAGGTTTTGGAGACGAATAAGGTTTACATCTATTAGGCAATATTTGAAAGATGAACAACACGATCACACTTTACAATGAGATGAAAGGATACAAATATCTGTCGTTTATTAGAAGTGGATATCATACAGAATCCTTTAATCAGTATATTAAATTATCTTGGTGTTGGATGTAGGAAGTCAATCTACAGAAAAACTACCTGACTTACGCTTCGTTTTTTGGTGCCAATCGGCAAGGCATATCTGCAACTGCAAAAAAATAGGGGATTCGAATCTTCGTCACTCAGCGCTGATGATAGTCAATGACGAAATCATCAAGACATTCAGGCCACAGCTTACATCTTGTGAAATTGAATTATGTATGTGAATCAGTTACTAATGGATAGCTTTCTAGTATCTGTTGCCTAGAACTTATCAAAGTTTCTCATTATGGTTACCAAGTGAATCGATGGAATGTTTCTGGATGTTGATGTGTTAATGAGTTCCATCAGACATTAAGCTACTTCCAGGCCTTCGTACTGATAAAATACCAATATACAATGCACTACAATATCAAACCAATTAACTTTAATTGCCAAATTGCTAAGCATGATCGATAAACTTCAACTGGCGCTAAACACAGAGAACTATTAATATTATTATTATTTATCCCTTGGGTTCCTAATGAAACATAAGGCTTCAGTAACACATTATACTCTGTTCTCTGCAGTCTTTTCAACCTGGCTCCACGACTGCCCAGAAGCTTTCATTTCTTCCTCACACCATCTCCTCGATATCATTCATGCACGCCCAACTTGTCATTCCCCTTTTGGATTCCACTCGACGGCCTGGCCTGGCACGTGATGTCCCTAAACTGTCTCAGTGTATGCCCAATCCAACTCCACTTTCTTCGGCGGTTGAATTGGTTTTACGGGGTAGTGTTGCTACCCCTATGCTCAACCTTCCCTCTCTATCCGGACTTAGGACCAGGCGAAATTGTCAGCTGTATGGGTTTTCACTCATGATCATATCGTACAATATACTGAAAAGATGACTCATAGAGTAGCTGAAGGGAGAAAGGTAGTTTTTTGACAGTTCATTCAGATAACTCATTATATTGAACTCCGTGTGTGTGATGCGGAGGTATTTATTTTGTTAGAATAAGACCTTATCTCGGGCCTAATTTCAAGTGTCGCAAATATTCTCTTAATCTTGATCAGTAGCATAGTTGAAAACTAAAGAATGACGACTGAATTGATGACTGGCTGATACTGGAGTTTTGTCATGAAGGAAATACTTGCTGACTTACACAGTTGCTTGTATCCTTTTTAAATGGTTTCATTGAATGATATACTTCTATTGCTTATATTCACTAGCATGTTAACATACCAAGAAACTACAATTATTCTAATAGTTGCAGACAGTAGTTACCGGTCAACTTGAAAATAGAACCAAAAGTTTTCTATCTTCAATGTTGACTACTTACAGTAGTATAAAAATAAAAAAATGTTTTAAGTTCACTGATTTCTTGGTATTTTTGATATGTGAACCATGAAGTTTATAGTTTATCTTCGTTACCTGTTGTTCCTGTTCATAACTTCTTGTCAACTTGTTAAAAATATGTTCACTTCTTGTTATGTTTACATTTTCATACTGTTTACGTTTTAGACAGTTGAGACGAATCATCGAAATACTAAAAATGAGCCCATATTATCCTGCTACACTTATTGATGGTCTGCTCAACTATATCAAATGCTAAGGTTTGTATGAAGTAGGCAGCAAGTTATGACTGTACTTCACTTACGACAGTTTAACTGACCAGCTAAATTGTACTTTTAGTCTTTACACAGTAGATTTGTTCCATAGCCTATGATTATTGACTTGCACACAGTAAGTTATAATAAGCTTCGGCACAAATATAAATTTCGACGGCCTGAAGTCAAGATGATTGTGTTAGCGTCTGTGTAATGCCAGAAGTGGAATTAATGATGAAACTGAACAAATGAGAAGTCGCCTTTCACCACTTTTTATCCACAACTTATACCAAGTGGTCTTTTAATAGGAAGCAAAAGTATCATCTAACAGATGAATTAAACAAAATAACTGTTGGATTAGAATGAATAGGAAAAATCGAGAGAAAACTTATTCAGTGACAGATATCTTATACGGATTTGAATAATTGGGATGAAGATGAATATCCTGTGGACGTGAATGCTAATGAATTTACTTAAAAAACTGAGTTATTTGGATGATATTTTTACGGTGATAATTTTTATGTTATCTAAACGAGATCATTGACGGAAAATAGTAGGGAATTCCATCAAGTATTACCTGCCTTTCTTGGACTTGAACCGTTCGTAGATCTATACAACTTTATTTACAATGAAACCATTCATGATTCATTTGAATGAAGAGTATTTCCATGGGACCAACTGACTAATTCCTCGGGGAAATTAGAAGCAAAACTGCAAGAATATTCATTATTAAACAATCAAAAAAGCCTTGTGTATGAAGTACCAACTCAAGAGATTACATCTGGTTAGCTAACCAGCCATCTTGTGCATAAATATCCAGCCGATAGTCGCTACATTGACATGATGATCTGGTTTGCATATCCCAATGACCCAAGGAGCCATGATAGTGGAACGCTTATTCTCTTGAGGTACTTGCACACCAGAAAGGTCACATAGATAGTGGTAAGATAAAAAGCGGTGTCAATAAATACGCTATGACGAGGTTCTAGAGTCGTACTTCTGGGTCGATAGGATTCGTTAACAGTACGGTGTTTTGCATGAATGACAAATCGTAATATGCTGATGCTGCCATCAAAATAGTAAGAGAAATTTGACAGTCGACCTCCAAAACAGCACGCTCGTCGTTACCATGCAGCTTTCGAGCACTGTTGATATATGTTCTTTTTTACCTGGACTCAAATTAACCAAAGCTAAATCTCAAACTTTCTAATTGCCCGTATGTGATCAGTCTCAAGCAGATGTCTCATGGACTCTGCCATCAGACAACGCTTTTACTAACTCTTCTTTTTCAGATACTCTCACAACTGTGTCGGTACTCAAGTTCTTTCGCAATCTTATCAACCTTTCACTTTTTTTACCCTTCAGCATTTTCTCACATCTCTGTCAATATTCTTACAACATCTAAAATTCCTTTCAGCTCTATGGTAAGACACAGAAGAATTTTTAATTCCATGCTATTTCAAAACATCAAAATATCATAACTTCTATTTTTTCAAGTATCCTTATCATTGAGTTCATTGTTTCATCGTAACATAGTTAGTTAAGTGAGTAAGGTAAAGAATTTCAGCTTTATTCACAGTATGATAAATAGTATACCGCATGGGACTTAACCATAGAGATATTCCATATATTTTCAATAGTTCCCAACGTCTATCTAACCATTATTAATTGCATTGTTCATACGACCAACTATTAGATATATTCACTTCAACTTTCAGGTTACAGCATTAAAAACTGATTGTAGAAGAAGTATTCAGACTTTGAATGAAAAATTATCAGTTTACCAGTAAGGTGGAAAAAAAGAGACGTTACCTACAGTTGATCTTTGGTGGGTTTGAACATATCCCAGCAATCTGTTAATAGATGAAAGATGATGAGACGAAAATCGACAACAGTTTCACTACAAAAATGTATACAATGAAGAAATCACAAATGAAAAGTAACTATCTAACTAATGGGTAAAGAAAGCCTACAAACTTAAACAAAAGTTCATTGATTTGGTGTATGACATTTTAGAGACAGGATAGGGCAAATATATGAAGAAATAGATTTCAAATAGGAGATTATTCAGTTTCCTAAAGAAAATAAGCTGTGGGTGAATCAGGACTAACTTCATTGATTCCGCAAAATATCATTTTAAGATATTCAGTTTTCAATGACTACTACTCTGATAGTTCTAGGAAGCATGTCTACGCTCCTGAGTACGCCTTACGTCACTATTATGTTATACATCAGTGTGAGTATCTTGAGGATTATTCCAACTCTTTCATACTCTTGTCAAAAACAGAAAAATACACATGTTGAAACGTTGAAGGAAGCACTGGCTGACCATAAGGTATAGAGGAAGAGTTCGTCAACATCCATGGCCTACTTGATAGTAATGTCTATCTAATGGAGGTTTTAACTAAGTGTATCAATGTTGTGAAAGTTAAGTCAAGAATGCTAACAGTTTCTAAGCAATAAATGTTTTTGAAACTGGAATTCAAGGGTAATATTGTTAACGAGATCATTGCAAATTAGATAAAAAAAGCCCTGAAAAGAGGATTTATAGCAGACTAATCATGTCACACTTTTTACAACCTCTGGATGCAAAACACAAGGACAAACTGTCCGATTTTGCTAATTCAAGGTACGTTTATCAGTTCAACTGCACATATACTATGAAGCTGCTATATATTAGCATTTTTAGGCACTACTCATGATGGCTAACTATAGGACAGATTAGAATAATAAAGAGCTCCATACCTGCAAACTTAGTCGACATTTAGCATCAAATAGATACTAGGAAAGTATTTAAAATTAATCATTGTGTGCTAATCAGTTTGTCACATAGTTTACGTATTCGTCTGCTTCACATAGCAGAGTCGATTTATTTGACTACTTGCACTACCATGACGGTCAATATGTCGTAACTTCTGGTATTACTTTGAAACCATCTTCACCTTCTTATTCTATCTGTTTTCATTTACTTTCTTATTCTTGCATAATAATTTGCTATTTGAGACTGACCACTAGAGAAAAAAAAGTCCCCCTTACTTGATCAGTTACTATGCAATTTGCTTAAGAACAACCTGTTTCAGATTATTATATATACTATCTTTAATCATGTATAATTACAGATGCCTTGATTTCGCAGGTATTTTTATTTTAGTGATGAATAGTGACTAGCAGTGGAGCCTAGAACTCACGTTCAGTCTCATTTGGGCTCACCGGTTTTATTGTATTAAAGCCGTCGCATAATGCTCTGGAGTTTAAAGTGATCATTCCTGGTACTGAGTTCTTGTGTAGACAGTATCAGTCACTGGGAGGCAGTACATCCAGCTGACGAGTCTCATGTAAGATGAAACGTATGTCTTAGATTCCACTGCTAGCTATTATCCATCATTAGTATTAAACCTAAATTTATCTTCTCAGGTATCTTTTAGTCTACTTTTTTCCCCACTTGTTAAGCTGGATGCTGAAGTTGTTGTAAACAATATCGAACTGCGTTTCACATTCAAGAAGGCTTCAAACAACACCAGTATTAAGTTATCAGATTATTATTCCTATTAAATTCTTCATTTCAATTAGTTCAGTATTTCAAAACTCTCAAGAAGTCACAAAGTGAATATTGGCACAAAAACAGCTAGTATAGATTCCCGTTTAGATAAATCAGCTTTAGTATCTCCCTAAATGAATTATGTCGTAGTATGTTGAACATACTTATTTCATCACCATATCATCACTTCTAAATTTGCTTAGCATTATCTTAGGAATATTCTTAGCTTGTTTGAAATAACTATGATCATTTATATGGTTAAATCGTTATATATCATAATAAATACTAGAATTAGAGAAGAAGGCAGACGTCTTTGAGGATTCAATGGAAACCTGTAACCCAAAGAAAAATTGTTTCCAGGTGTATTGATACACTAATGAATATAGAAAAACTGTACATTAAAAAAAAACAGTTGTCTAATGGCTTCATGGGTTCGCCTTATGCTAGTTTGAAACATCTAAAGATATTTCAAGTTGTTATTCATCGAAGACTGACATCAGTTGGAGGAACAAGGGAAACCTGGGAGCACTGGACAGCTGTTTTGTCCTAGTATGGGACTCCTCAGCAGTGCGCACCCACGACCCCACCAGCAGGGATCGAACCCGCGACCTTCAGGTTCCGCGACCAGCGCGTTACCATTGAGCCACTGGGTCAGAATACAATGCTCCATATTTCCAACTTCTGTTAGCTTACGATATAGCGCAAACCGCCACCCAATGTCATCGTTGAGTATTTGTCCTCAGGGCCATCAGGCTTTGACTCCTCCAACTGATGTCAGTCTTCGATGAATAACAACTTGAAATATTTCCAAATCTCCACAACCCCCTCAAAATCTAAAGATATCTCTAATTTAAATAAAAGGTAATCAAGGGTAAATTATTTAAACAAATAATCAGTGTTTGTTACAACTTACTGCGCATAAATCAGCTGAAGAATAATTGTATATTAAATCGTAAGCGAAATCTAGAAATTCAGTCAATATTCGTTTGCACTGAAATATAATAGAAAATATATTTGGGGAAGTATTAACCTTACCAATGACATAGTTGAGAATCCAACAGAATTATTGTAATAGTGGATAGAAGTAACTAACTAACTAATGTGATTTCATCTAATTGATAAAAAGCGTATATACGTAAAGTATACACTTTAAAATAAGCAATAATTTAGAAGTAGTATTCATCATGGACTGATATCAGTTGGGGAACCATTGAAAATCTGGGAGCACTGGACAGCTGTCTTATCCTAGTATGAGACTCTTCAGCAGTACTCACTCACCACCCGGTTAGGGATCGGACTCAGGACCTTCAGGTTTCACGGCGAACGCGTTGACTATTTAGCCACTGGGTTGGTTTCCAGTGGTTTACAATTTCCAACTTCTGTCAATTCACGATATAGCATGACTATCACCCAACGTCTTCAGTTAGTATTCACTTCACTTCCAAATGCTTGACTCCACAGGTCACGGCTTCTCATTACACTTTCCTGATATTCATCTAGAAGCAAGTCACTAATGAGCACTATACAGTAATGTATTTTTGAGATGAATGGGGATTTTTTAATTTAGAAGTAGTATTCATCATGGACTTTAGTTAGATTTTGATAAATGATTAAATTCTTAGCCATCAGTGAGTTGGTTTTCTTTCCCTATCCAGTTTGAATCACTTTTCGTAAACTGATGATGAAGATGATCCGGAGTAGATAAAATAATTCTTAAGTTTTCACATGATTTTATTTGAAATAACGATAATGTTTAACATTGAATCGTCTTTTGTGACATATGTCTAAGAGATTATACTGTTATCGTAGAGTTCGAACCCAACAAATCAATCTCTTTATACTGGGTGATGATTGAAAGTGAAATGCAAATTTGGACCGCTGCCGTATTAGAACCAGTGACCACCAGGGGCTTTCGGCACGATACTCTATCAGCTGAGCTATGAGGTCAGACTACTGACCACATTTTTATTTCACTTCACTCAACAAGGGTTTTGCTCGACTGTCATGTGAATTCGTGACACTGTACTATCGCCTGATCCTACTCACCCCAATCGAAATCTAACTGAATTAGAGAGGGGGAGCATCCTACTGGTTACCATCTTGACTGTCTGAGATAGTCGTGGTTCGGCAGACAAGTATTCATAGTGACCAGGCAACCAATGTGAATACAATCAGGCGGTAGTAACACGTCATGATATCATATGGTGGTCGGGCAAAACCCTTGATGATTGAAGTAAAATAAAAGTCTGGTCAGCAGTTTGATCTCGTAATTCAGTTGGTAGAGCATGGGGCAGGAAACCCGGTGGTCACTGTTTCGAATTATTACAAATGGTAAATTGTTATTACGTGAAGGACAAACAAAATGGCTTAGATCATTAAGGGAGGTAAGTAAAAAAATACATCTGTTATTTAAGCTATCCAAATATCTTGAAGACCAGAAATAATCATCTTTTACCTCATTATTTGACTCAGATCATCAGACGATGGCCGTGTAAACCAGTTTCCTGCATTCATTTGACCAGTTTTAACCTTTCTTCAGACTAATTTTGTTCTATCTTGTATTGAATACCATGGTATGTGGTGTTTTGGATTGCATAACGGATGATATAGCTACTTTGATTATTGTGAATTCACATAATTGTCAGTTGTATCATTCTATTTACCTGGGTAATAGCCATGACATTAGAGCCATTTTGGCAGATACCTTCAACGGGGTGTTTCTTTTCACACATGGTACAATATATAGTCAGCTTACATATTTTCATTTAGTTCAAGGGATTGACCACTACATTCGTACATACCTTATGCTCTATTCTAGATCCTTGATAACATAATTGTTTTTGTCTGAATTGCGTACTATATGTTAAGGAGAAATAATGAATAGTGAGGCTTAACATTTTTCTTGGTCATCTTAGTTCACGAAAATTCATATTTTTTCCTCGTCTACTTTCGAATCCATCTGTGATCTATGAGTACAATAAGCGGACCAAAATGATGTTGAACAAGTATCCCAGTTACCTTCTCATGTCAGTGGATTTCAACAAGCATATCTTAATCCAAAGAAGAAAGTGAATTTTGAAAAGTCTTCAGGCTATATACAAAAATATAATCCCCTAGGATTGATTACATTTTATGTAACGTAGGTATTTTTTTTTAACTTTCTGTAAAAAAAACACCCGGCTGACGAGTCCCGAATAGGCCAAAATGCGCATCCTGGATTCCACTGCTAGCTACGATCCATCATTACTACCATTGGAGCACTGGTAATATTGAGGTATCCTAACAGGATTCCATATGCCAATAGAGACCGATCAGTTCGGTCCAATCAACGATGGTGTGATATAAAAACAATTATACTAAAAACTATACCTGTTGCAGAAGAGGTGGCTATCGTGGCTCGGTGATGTAGTGGATAACGATCTGACGTTTGAAGCGATCACTCCCGAGTCCGAATCTCGGTGGTAACAACATCACTCACTGGGAAGCAGGTATATCCAAATGGCGAGTCCCAAATAGGACGAAATGCGCATTATGGATTCCACTGGTAGTCACGATCCATCATTACTACCAGTCAGAATATTCTGTTTATAGGAAGTCATCGATTACATACGTGATAATGAACTGTCCATCAACTTTTTGAAGACAGTTGTATTGTATAAAGAAGTTTGACAGATGACTGATAGGTTTTCATTGAAAAGTGTCTAGATCTATATCAAACAGTTAGGGATTTCATGAACTGGAACCATGTCTTAGTCTGGACACTGATCTTTTTTTCAAATCAGTCTAACTCCTTCTAGCATTGTATATCAACGTAGGCAATGGTTCCGTATGCATAACGTATCCAAGTCACCTCAGTCAGTGATAATTCATGACCTCATTGATCACCTTAACTATCCTCGGGATTACTAATAAGATACTTCCACCATATGTGAACTGTGCTACAAAGATATTTGTAGTCAGAAAATTGAAATCACTTCATATCTTCTACCTTTAACGTCAAAGAATCAAACAAAGCACTTGATCTGTGAGATAATGATCAATTTCACCATTATTAAGAGTTTAATTATATGGACAGAGGATTGAACATCACTGTATTAGCCAAAAACTCACGATATCATTGTTAAATAGAATATTTTCTTGCTTCATATTTCATATCATAATGAACACTATCTGCTTAGTTTGGTTCTTTCAACTAATGATGTTATATGACTTATTTGCGTAGCCATTTAACAGATTTTCAGTAGTAGATTTTAATCTATGTATACAATCATGACAAAAAGTCAAATATTTCAGTGTATTCACCAGAATATTGAGATTTTGAAAAAGTTTCACCCTCTGCTTTTAGATATTTAGTCGTATACCTGACATCATAATTATGATAATCAAATATTATTGTGTTACAATGTCAGATGTGATAAGCAAATCGATTGGAAGCATCACTCGACTTAAGTATCTTGACTATTGCCAATTATTAATAGACGCAAAGATACTGATGTTACTTCAGTGATTCAAATCTGCGTCAATTTACCACTAAACTGTAAATTATGTTAAGTTGATCAACACAGCTCGATTTATACTGAATACAAAGGATTCAGCAGCTATACGAATTATCCAATTGTGGTCAGTTCGTGTTACTGAATTATTATTTTTTTAATAGAAGAAATGAAAAAAAAAGTTTAATTTAAATTAGAAAATCTTACAGGTGTATAGAGATTTTTCAAATTTTTACAGGTCACTTCTATGTGCTCATGGACATAGTATTTACTATCGAATATAAATGTCTTAGCTGACCATACTAAAAATTTACAACCGAAACAAGCTGAAATAAGAAAAGAGAAACTGTTACATACCATAAAGAATACGTTATCTTTAATTAAGAAAATTATTGGTAAAAAGATAGTAAAAAGTTTCTTCAGTAAGACTTACATGGATTTGAAGGACCCTGGTAAGAAATCAAACTATGGAGCACATCTTCAAGTTGGGTAACAGGTTTTATCTAAAATATTCATGAATTGTACACAAATTGAATTATAATTTTACGTTGTAAAATATAGAGAATTTTTCACATAAGCACATACATTATCTTCAACTAATTACGATCATACCACTATCTAGTGCAAGGAACCTTCGAAATCAAGTTGAAAGCCTTCAAGGAAGTTGGTAACAGACCGCAGTTCAAGTTCAACACCCGGAAACTGAAGGACAAAAGTACAAAGGAGATCTTCACGTCAGCCATCAAGACAAAATGGGAGATATCGAGGAACATCCCTGAAAAAACCTGTGTGGATGAAGACTGGAACCTGCATAACCGTGTTAGGAAGGGAGAAGAAAGAAGATAAGGAATGGATCTCAATGGATACAAGGAAGCTGATAAAGGAGAGGAGGATGGTGAAGCAGAAGATAAACCAGTGCATGGATGCTCAACGACAATAGGAACTGGAAACAATGTATAGAACAATACACTGGACAAAGAAGTGAAGAAGAGTGCACGGAAAGACAAAAGATACTTTTACGAAACACTGGCAAGTGAAGCAGAACAGGCTGCAGGTAGGACAGACAGAGACCTGATAACATTGTATCAAATAACCAGGTTGCTATCTGGGAAGAGATCAACTCAGACGAAGCCAATAAAAGATGAATGGGGAAATTTAATTACGAAAGGAGAGAAAGAAAGGAAACAATGGGCCGACCACTTCAAGAAGCTCTTGAATCGACCACCACCACCACCTGCACTTCGTCTAGAAATACCACCTACAGCCCAACCACAGAACTATAAGTGAGCATAAATCCTCCAACAAAAGTGGAAGTCCTGAATGCCATAAAGCTACTGAAATGTGGGAAAGCAGCAGGACCACATGGATTCCCGTTAAAAGCATTGAGAACAGACGCAGAGACAACACTGGACATACTCACACTACTACTGCAGAAGGTTTTCAAAGAAGGAAGGGAAAGTACCTGGCCATTGATTGGAAGAAGGGTTACCTTGTCAAACTCCCGAAGAAGGGAGACCTAAGTCTTTGCAAGAACTGGCAATGAATCACTCTCCTGTCCACCCAGTGCAAGCAAAATATTAAGCCGCATCATCCTGCAGAGAATAAAGATGCACTGGATTCAAAACTACCACCAGAACAGGCTGGCTGGCTGGCTGGATTCAGGAAGTACAAATCATGTGCGGACCAAATTGCAACGCTACACTACGCATCATCATAGAACAGAGTAAAGAATGGCAGTCAACTCTCCACCTTACCTCAACTTCATCGACTTTGAGAAGGCCTTTGACAGCGTCGACCGAGAGGTATTTGGCAACTGCTCCAACGCCATGGAATACCACAAACCTTTGTCAACCTCATTCAACAACTATATGAAGACGCCACATGCGAAGTAATTCATAATGGGAAGCTCAGTGATGTCTTTGAAGCGAAGTGACGACGGGAGTGAAACAAGGTTGTCTACTAGCACCCATGATCTTTCGAACTGTGGTGGGCTGGATCATGTAGCAAACCATGAGCAGTGAGAAGACGGGCATAAGCTGTTTGACGGATGAAAAGACCCTAGAAGATTTGGATTTCGCCGATGACTAGTGTCTGATGTCGCACAAACTCGTAGATCTACATGCGAAAACCAACAAGTTAGCAGAAGAGGCAGGGCAGCGAAGACCGGACTTCAAATGAATAAAGAGAAGACAGAGGTGATGAAGATACCCAACCAACACCATCAACGACAACAGTAAGCTCCAATCACCATCAACGGGAGAAACCTAAAGGATATAGCCTCTTTCACCTACCTAGGCAGCATCGTTTCAACTACAGGCGGTGGCACAGACGAGGATGTCAAAACCAGGATGGGAAAAGCAAGACAGGCGTTTATTAACCTGAAATCATTGTAGAGATCTACTGCACTTCAGTGCATTGAAGTCAGGATAAAGCGTGAACAAGATGCGGATTTTCAGCACTAATGTCAAGTCAGTGCTTCTGTGTGATGGTTGAGAGACTTGGCGCGTTATGAAAGGCATTTCCACCAACCTACAGATATTCATCAACAACTGCCTACCCTGGCTCGTTACTGAAGCTCATGTAGCCATAATAATAAGAATAAGCAACAAGGAACTCTGGAGAGGTAACAAACCAACCAAGAGCCTATTGCTCAACAAATATGCAGAAGGAAGTGGAGATGGATTGGGCATGTACTGAGAAGGTGGTTCGGGGAAATCACGTGTCAGGCACTCGAGTGGGATCCAGATGGGAAACGGCGAGTTGGGTGTCCTAGAGGAGGGTGACATGGAGGAGATCGTGTGAGGAAGAAATGAGAGCTTGTGGGCAGTGGTGGAGCCAGGTTCAAAAGATTGCAGCGAAGAGAGTGGAATGGAGACGTGCTACTGAAGCCCTATGTTCCACTAGGAACCCAAGGACAAACAATAATATAACAAAATTATGACCATATGTGACATACTTACACAATGTACTTAAGAACGAAGGTATTCTCAACAGCATCTGTTTATAAGAATATGTATAACTTATATGTTAAAGTAAATTTATATGTATCCAACTCAACTACCACATGCCCTTGTTTACAATACGATAATTAGTAATACACCTAAACTGTCAAGCGTTTATATATTGAACAGAGTTAGAAATGACAATTGGAAAACTAGATGTTGAGTGTCTAAGTCAATAGACAATTCTTGAAATAATCATAAACGGATGGGGGTCGAAGCTACTAATTACCTTTCATGTTCCAAACTTTCTGAAAATGTGTGGTTGTGTGTTAAACAGTTTTTAGAATTATTTAATACTTGATGTATTAGTAGATTACAGGCAATCAATGGGTTGTTACTCACCAACAAGGGGGGTGCCTGCAACCTTGAAGGAATTAATAGCCCATGTGAGATTCAAATCCATGACACCTAGTATTGCAATCAAAGATGTTATCACTGAGCTATTCAGGCTATGGTTGATTTTATATAGGATTGGATGCATTTAGCAAGCCAGGAAAGATATCGTCACGATGCACTGTCATAGAATTTGGTGAGTATTCAGAATTACACAGCATGAAATCAGTTGAAAGTTTAATTATGACCTATGGGTAAGTGTGAACTAAAAGTTAATAATTTTATTTGTCAACATTCTCTCAATTACTGTTTCCATAGGTGAATAAATATATGAATAGATGAAAGTCAACTCATTTATGCATTTTTTTTAATAAAAACAAAAAAAAGTAATATTGATTATTGAACTTACATTGGATTGATTATCATAAGTTATATATCCGTCTGTAGATGATGAAGCTTTTTTAGGGACGAAATTTCAGAATTCATGTTTTTTAATTATGCACTTACTTAAGATAGTATTCAGTGAACATAAAAATATCATAAACCAAAACATGATCCGTTAATTGTATTAAATTATTCTGTGAATTTCATTTTATAGCGAAATATTTCAATTAAATAATAATAATTTGTATTGAATATAGATTTTTTTCAAGAAATACTAATCTTAAGGAACTTTAGCATCAAATTAAGATGTAAATAAACAAACTTATCTGTTCATATTTAATTGTTAATTGGAAAGTTAGATTGTTTTGACTGAACATCAAACATTTTGACAGAAAAAGAATGAGAAGACTGAATATTTATTATTACATTAGTCGAACAAAAGATAACGGTCTAAAACTGATATACATCAGTAATGGAGCTGTTGAATACACTGACTAGTCTAATTAACTAAAGCGTTCAGTTAAAAGTGACTTACTGGTTATAGACTATATCAAAATATGTATACAAAAAGTCTTGTTTGACTGCTACGTAAATTATTTCCATTATAATACTAATTAGGTATTTAAGTATTTGTTCATTGCTCATCTCTACTTTACTCTACAATCTTACTACATTAGAATTGATGGTGAATTTGGTATATTTCATAATAAAATGTTCCTGAAGTATTGTGTTTTGTAAAATTAACCGATTACTACTTCGACTTGAGATGTTGAATGTAGTGGGATTAGGTTGTTAAAAGGCTAAAGATATATCAAACCAAGGTGTAATACCGATAGATGGAATCATCGAATGTCGGTTCAGTTCGTATACCTGACTGTAACCTTAAGAATGGTTGTGGTCTTAGAATCTGAAGGTGTTGGGTTCGATCCCTAGCACTGCTGGAAAGTCCCATACCAAGACAAATCAGCTGTTCAGTACTCCCAGGTTTTCAATGGTCTTTGAATTCATGTCAGTCCGTGGTGAATACCAATTTAAAAGGAAATCAGTTGGTATGCTGCAGTACCGTTAAAACCTTACAACTCAATGCTAATGTGGATTAACTTGATAAGTAAAATTGCATAACATAAAAGGACCTGAAAGACAAAAATTCAATATTGTTGTTCCAAAATTTAACAAATGCCAAAGCCTTGTTACTCTAATCATATCTGATAACCAACATGGAATGAATGTATAACGTTCAATACAGTATCGATTTCGAAATGAACCACTGTGCAAATAATAAGTTTTACATGCTGGAAACTATATTCCGTCTCTGTTAGCATATGATAACCGCTACATCATGATAACCGCTTCAGGTGTTTGACCACTGTTGCCTTCGTAGTATAAGCCGTATTCAATAGTGTCACTACGTGAGTAATGCAGATGTCAAGTGTAGAGTTTTACGGAGAAGAGGTAAATCTGTTGACGAGGTTGTGAACCTTCATCGACTGAGATGGTTGAGACAGGTGTTATGTATGCCTAGCCGCCGTCTGCCTCGTCACACAATGTTGACCGAAATAGGCTCACGAAGGGAAAAGTCTCAGGTGGGAGGGGGGGGGCAGACTAAAACATGGCATCAATGTATGACGTCTTTGACTGTTGATCTGAGCCATGTGGAGCGATGTAGACTAGCCGGTTGGGGTCAGTGGGACAAAAGAAACCAGTGGTTGCAGACTCTATGTGATATAGCTCAGAACCGTTGTCAGCAGCGCAAATGTATACACACATTATCCTCATCTTAAAGACGCTATACTGAATCTCACCATTTTCTCATTCTTCCTTTCTCTCTTTTCGTACTTTGTATTTCTTTTGAATGAATTTTCCTATCTTCATCTTACTGTTCACTGCCTTTTTACTTGATGTACTGATATGAGGTATGGCAACTCGGACCGTTACTCAATAATGGCTGGTCCTATGTCGATACTGATGATGATGTTAGCATATGGGTTCCTGTATGAATGTCTCCATATTACCTATGTTTTAATTATAGTAATGATGGATAAAGGCTAGCAGTGACATCCAGGATGGCCGTCAACTGAATGTACCCACCTATCGGTTACGAGTCTCAAATAGGATGAAACGTCCGCCCTAGATTTCACTGCTGGCCACCATCCACCATTAGCATGAAATGTAACGACAGGCAGTATGGAGGAATTCGCATAGAAGCCCATATGGTAGGAGAGACTGATCAATCCGGTCCAACCAAAATATTTGAAAAATCATGTGTTTATGCATAGAGACAAGAGTGAATGATAAATTATGTAAAAAGTAAATGGTGTGTAAAGAAAGAGGTGCTTTCGAAGACTGTAAACTAAGATCATGAAAGAAGAATAGGTTGGATAGTTTGCTTATGCATCCGAAGGTCAGGTTTCTGCCTGACAATGACAAGAGCTTCAGTGTTGAAGTGAAGGTTTCTTTTCCCTTTACAAATGACTGTGATTGTGGAAGTAGTTGAGATAGAGTGACCGTAGTTCATTTCTTATCGTTTCACTGTTAGGTCTTTGTAAGCACGTGTGACACTCATCCTGAACACTTTTAGACAACTTTCTTATTGAACTACCTATAGATGTGGCTATACAGGGGTAGATGAATTGGTATGAGCAAACAGAAGTGTCCAGATGAGAAAGCTTGTCCTTCAAGTTGTTTGAAAACATTGAGCAACAGAAGAACATCGATTTCATTGCTGATGGAAAGAATGATCCTGTTAGAGAGTTTCATATACTCCTCTTAAGAGTGGTGGCGGTGGAATGAATCATCACTGAGGTTTAAATCCATATAAAGTATCTTTTCACTACATTGGTAGGATTCGTTTTGCGAGGTTTCAGCTTTATATGTTTTTTACACGAAGCTTAGTGAGAAGCCATTGTGACATCTCGAAAACACTAGTAGCCAGTTAAAGGCATTTTGTTCGTTTGATTTCGAGGTGACCTTGTTTTCTAGTAGCTGAAATTAAAAATTCATGACTCACTCGTCTTTCTATTGTACCCATAAATTTGTATTCATTTCAGAGGATTTAATATATAGGTACAACTAACAAGTTAGTTGGATGGAGGCAATCGACAGGGAGCTCTGGACCTAGGTTTCGTGCTTTTCGGCACTCGTCAGCAAGGCGTATCTGCAACCTCGACGGAACTGATGTCCCACCCGAGATTCGAACCCGCGTCACCCAGTGCTGTAGTCAGCGACTTTACCACTGAGCTATTTGGGCCGCGACTGACCTCCTGTAGGAATTACCAGAATTACTTATTTTAGATACAAATATACAGTTACCTACTTCTAAACTGATGCTTAATCACGAAACTAGTCTTTATCAATTATCTAAATAAAGTTATGCATAATATTCACTCAGTGATTACTTCGTGTAGGTTCAAAAAATATTGAATAGCGTTACTGTTCACCACTCTACTGACGTGTTCTATTAAAATTACTGACCACTAATTTACCCTTCCTTTCATCTCACAGAACTAGAAACACTGTTCAATACCTTTTTAGTATTCACTATAACAATAACAAGGTAATTATGCAAAAATAACGTTGAAATCATAACATCTAGTAGTATATACTGTTGAAGTATGGCATTTAGAAAGAAGTTTATTTATTTATTTACAGTTCAATCATGCTCTTATTTTTCTTCCACGTTATTCTATTGTTCCCACTTCTATCGATTTCCACTCTGAATAGTTAAGAAGCGTCCAAATAATCCAATATTACTGCAGCTGATATGAGTAGTGTGATTTATATTCAAATGCTAATTCTTTTGTAAATAGATTTTATTGTTTTCTTCTGATACTTAGAATGATGAATGACTCAAATCCCTGCCTTCTGAAGGATTCTATCAGTAATAATAATAATAATAATAATAATAATAATAATAATGACAACAGTAATAATAATTCACTTTATTCCAAACAATTTGTGGTACAGTTTGAAATCTTCTGCATAATATATTGCAACAACAACAAAACATATGTTATGTATATGCTCCTACACAACATTTCGAATTGTGTTATTATAAAAATTCAAGTAATGTAAAGAATACTAACAAGGAGAACAGTTTACATTGTTAGTTAAATTATTGAAATGAGATTGGTTGTTAACTGTTACAAAGTTAATGTATGATTTCTATTCTAACACTCTGTTCCTCATATAATATGCTTGCTAGGTAAGGTAAAGTCGAATTCTCGTACTTGGCTGTACGAGCATACAGTTTTATGTAGTTTATTGTTATCCTCCCTGAGGAGAAACATGGGGAGACCTGTGAATGAAATAAATACTCTGTGTCAGTTAAAAATGACTGTAGCTAGTTGCTTGCTGCAATTGAAATGTCTATCAACTACAGTGTTAATCAGTTGAGCCAGAGGCACACCACTCACTCTTCTGACGGCTTTCTAAGCCCTAGTCCTTTTTTTGATGACCAGGAAAGATCAATGGGGAACAATATAGAAGAATAGGTAAAGGTAGAGGTTGAGTTATATCAGACAGCCTCAGTTTCTTTATGGAATAAGTTAAACGAAACATTTTTTTACAAGTCAACAAGATATAAGACGATTAACAAATGTCAGAAGTACCACTTAACCCAAGATAGTTAACACTCGAGTTACTTTCTGCACAAATATCATCAATGCAACAGGCATCATGAGATCTAAGCAGCTCACAGAAGTCTTGCTTACGCCTGAGGCTAAAATTAACAGACTGGTGCAAAAAATCTTAATCACTTCGATTTCAGTATGACAATGGAATTGGGATGAAATCTGGAGTTCATTCTCTTAGTCGTATATACTAATGAGATACAGCATACTTCACTCTACAACTGTCTGAAAATTCAATTCCAATTTTTACAACTTTATAAAATTTCTTGTCTTGAAAGTGTTTGAATCCAGGAGACTTTCAGGTGAAAAACAACTGAAATAAATCTAAATTGATTGATCAACTATAGTGTCAAGAAAACTTACAATGAAAATGACTCAAATTATTAATATCATTGATTATGATCAAAGATACAAAATCTTCGTAAGATCAGGAATATATTACTGAATAGTATGAGTAGTTAGAAGCAACTGCTATTGTTACACAGTTCATCACCCAGATATGACCGATCTAAGTATCAGATAGCTAATCTGTATTATTTAGGCAAGACATTTCATTTGATTACTCAGTCAGACGAATATGTCACATTAAATGAGTGTACCTGGTTGACTTCAATGAATCAAATTGGGGTAGCTGATTAGGGAAAAACGTCAACATGGATAGAGTAACAGAAATTAATTTCTCAGTTATCTTATTCACCTCATAGTTTTCTCTCGATCTAATTCACTTAAACAAGTCTGAATAGAAATTTATTATTATTATTTTTTCCTTGGGTTCCTAGTGGAAAATATGGCTTCACTAACAAGCCTCCATTCAACTCTCTTCTCTGTAGTCTTTTCAACCTGACGCCACCACTGCCCACAAGCTTTCATTTCTTCCTCACATCATCTCCTCCATGTCACTCTCGTCTTCGATACCCCACTCGTCGTTTCCCCTCCCAATTCCAATCGACGGCCTGGCCTGACCTGGCTCGTGATGTCCCCGAATAACTTTCTCAGTGTATCCCCAATCCAATCCACCTCCACTGTCTTCTCCTACATATTGGTTGGGTGATGGGTTTTTGGTTGGTTCGTTACCAGCCTGAGTTCCTTCTTGCTTAATCTCATTAACCTGGCCATCTGATCTTCATTGTCAGTATCGAGTGAGTGTTGGTGGCAGCTGTTGATGTGTGATGTCTGTAGTTTGTCGGAAATGCTATTGGTGACTCGCCAAGTTTCTGAGCCATACAGAAGCATTGACTTGACTGAATTGGTGTTGAAAATCCGGATCTTATTCATGCTTGTTGCTGAGTGCAGTGCAGTGCAGTGCAGTATAGTGTAGTGTAGTCGATCTCCACACTGATTTCAGATTACTGAAGGAAGGTGTGTGTTGCTGTCTTTCCAATCCTGGTTTTGACATCGTCGTCTGTGCCGCCTGTAATTTAAACGATGCAGCCTAGATAGGTGAAAAAGACTGTTTCCTTTAGACGTCTCCCGTTAATGATGATTAGTGCTTGTTATTGATGCTGTTGTTGGTTCGGCTAAATCAAAATACTATGCGTTAAATCTGTCCATTTACATCAAGGCTAAGGACAAACTCAAGTCAGTGGAATAGATAGCTCTGTTTTATCTAGCGAAATCTACAGAAAAACAGGAGTAGTTTCCAGTTTCAACTCATTTGAACCTCACTACTATAGCACACTGATACACTCATGCACATTTATCCGATATGATGGGTTTTCATAAGTCAGTAATATGTTAAGTGCATCTTTTTTCTTAAATTGTCGAGCAGTTCTGTACGAATAACTTATCTCTCAACTAATTTTAAAAAAATATCATAGGAAGAAGTCAAAGTCTACTAAATGTGATCATTATCACCAATATTATTATTCTTATTATCATTACTATTATCACTGTTATTGTTTTAAGTTTAGAAAATCATTAAAAACTGAGCAGACTTCAGTTAAATATTTCATGTCATTATCGTGAGGTGAAATAACGAAAATTTTCCTCTTGTTCAATTCACATTATGCCTATTCGACGAATCACTTTATTTTATCTGATAGGTAGGTGATATTGGATATCTTCTCTCTTCCTTTCTTTTCTTGTTTTTCACTTATAGCTTTGAATCTATTTTTACTCAAAGAATGTTATTCTACTGAAGAAATCTTAAAAGTGAGCGTTATTAATTTATACTACAAAAAGTGTAAACAAATTTATTTCGACAGTATCTTTTGTGATAATAATAATATTTTTTGATGGAAGTTAAAATATCGACTGAATCTCACCTGACATTCATCAACTGGATACATTTTTATCTGAAATAGCAGTATAATTATCTATTGCATAAGAAGTTTACAGTCCATTCTTTTTGTTGATGTTTAAGTTTTACGTGTTTTCAATGTTGTTTTTCTATTTACCAGTACTCCTCAATAAGCCATGAAGAAACTAGTTTCCTGTCAATACAAAAAGTCTGAGTGACTACAGGACTAGTATGGAACTACTACAAGTTTAATGATAGGAAGTGAAGTGATAGGATGCGTTGACCATTTCACATACTTGGGGAGTTGCATTGTCTTGAACCCACTGGTTGTTCACATACACAAGGCCTGTTTTCATTTGTTAACTTGCGTTATCTGTGACGCCAACTGCCGAGATATCTGACTATCTATCAAACGATGAGTATACTGCGCTGTAGTCGTACGGCTGTGAGACATAGCCATAAGAAGTAGGGGATATGAAGTGGTTACAGGTTTTTGAGCGTAAATGTCTTCGTACCATTGCTGACGTTTGATGGAATCACCATTTTAGCAGTGTTGAACTCAGGTGAAAAAATTCAGGCAAGCAACACAAGATGGTCAATGAGGATGTAATGCTTAGTCAATTGAAGTGATTTAGAAATGCGCTGCTGCTAGGGAAGATAAGAATCGGTAGTTGAGGACTTTAGGTGACAAAGCTGAAAATCAGTCACAATGGAGTAGATGCATATGCTCCCTAATATCTTCTTAGGCTGAAATATTCTCACTAACCTTCATCTTTAGATTGTGTATTGTCTCACACAATTTTATCTACTTTGATATCATTCTTTTTCTATCCACTCGTTCTTTGTATACCACTGTAAAATGTGGTGACTTGAAATGATGTACGTGTCTGAAGTTTCTACGCTGATCCTGTTTGTCTGTCTGAGTGATTCAGTACTGAGGTCAGCGACATTATTAACAAGCCGTTCAGCCCCAATCAACCTTTTGTAGGACTGCACTATTCGCACAAATTGATTGTCAGAGGTTATGGCGTACAAAACACTTGCAACATATACTTCTAAGGTTTAGAAAGTTTACTATTGACTTTAATGGCTGTGATGATTAACAACAAGGGTTCTAGTATTACAGTAGAGGCATTAGTATCCGTGAACTTATCAGTGTACTTCACTGAAAAGTGCTGAAAAGTATGATAAATAGATGACCACGAGTTACAAACATACAACAGCTAACCTGATATACGAAATTCTGTTGACAGACAGAGTCATGCAATATTATAATGTCTATTTCTCACTGTCCTGTTTATTTGCATATTTTAATGGAGAATACTCCACTTTGAGATAATCAACCATCAGGAAGTTGCTTCAAATAAATATCAACACTCTCTATTAGATGATAGGAATAGTTCTTTTCCTCAGTTACTGACAACTGGAAATTTTATATGCTTTAGTGTTTCGATTTAGGCAGTTCTCTATGAATCAAATGGCTGAAAAATGTTAACTTCTAAGATATTTTTTTAGGAAAACAAACCGATTTGTTGGTGAACATCACTATTGTCTAAAAATTAAAGAAGATAATATATTCATAGGAAATATAAAATTCTTATTACCACTAATAACTGCTTGGGTTAACCAAAAGCTTTGAGGTTATAAGCGATTTTCTGCAACGAATCCATGCAAAATACATTGTAACAAGGTATTGGCTTACTGACTTGTCAACCAAGTGAAAGGAACGTAGACCTCAAGGGCACTTTACTCATCGCTGACTGGCTCACATAAGTGTTCCACATTCCCCAGAAGTTAATGGTAACATGATTAGTTGAACTATAATGTCTGTGACCCTGTTACTGAGCTCAACATAAATAATTGGATGAGAATGACAGAAAGTTTGATTCATTACTATACATCTCCAGCTGAAGCAGTGTGGCAGAAAGTAGTTCCACATTGGATTTCCATACTGGATTTGTTTATTTGATATAAAGCGCAATGTGATACAGTGTCATTTACTTTATGATATCTCGAGCATAAATTATTACTTGTAATTATATCAATGTGATGATACCACTTTCGACATCTGATTTTATTGTCCTGTCACCACATCATTCTTTGATTTTATCGATAGCAAAATCTTACATATCTCTAGTGTAGGTGCTGCATCATTGTGTTGGGCGATGTTTCATTCGATGAACAAACACTCAATATTCAATCTCTCTTTCTCTCTGTATCTCTACCTAATTATATTTGATTTAAGTATAGTGGTTCCATCCCACACATTGTATTGTGTGGTTGTCTGTGAATCCATGCATTGCAATAGTCGAGTGTTTTCTAGATTATTGATGTTGTTTGAGTCTGTCATTCTATTTTCAGCTAAATTCCTATGTTCAGTTCATCTAATTGATCCCGACAGGCTAGTCTAGATAGAATCTGTCAGTTTCCTGTGGACGGTAGTATGCAAACCAGCGTATGTTCTTTTATTCTGCAATCCAACATAGGTTATTCTCCTTTTTCACTTTCTACCTCGTAAGTGAATTGGATTGAGTATATTATTGAGTTTAAGTGTGTGAGGAAATTGTCGAGATGTTCCATTTCCATTACAGTGAATGTGTCATCCACATATCACCACCATATCTTAAATTCAGGATTATACATTTGGAAATCAATGTCTTCCCAACTATCAACAAACACATGGGGATATTGGTGATCCAACTGCTACTCCTTCTGTTTGCGTACATTCTTTTTTCTTGAAACTTGAAGACTGTGTAAGTCAAGCACAAGTGTACGCCTAATATGATTTCATCAACCGATTTTTAGTTCTTATTCAGTATTTCTTTGATTTCTGACTGTCTCCTATCCCATATTGATTGGCATTTTAGAATTACTGTTCGCTACATAACAAATAAACAAATATAATATGGAATTACATTCTGCTACAGTGCCTAAGTTTTACAACTATATTAGATTTGTTTATTTGTTATAGCACATAGTAATAAAGTTTTACTTGATAGACAAGTAACTACTACTTTATCACTGTATGCTAAGAAAATAAACAAATCTGATATGAAAGGAAGTTTGATTCAATTTGTTCTGTGAATAGAACTTCGTAATATGTATCGGACATTTAATTAACTTCACCAACTAGTGATTATCATTACAAAACAGTTTATAGTTTACTATTGTCCCTTTCTCTTCCAAGAGCATTCTACAAAGGCATTGACGAGGTTAATGATAAAATATCGTTTGTATGTGATCACTTCACTTTCTAGGCTTATGTCGTCCAGTTTTACAACTAACAAGTGAATCTCAGGTGATTTACCTCACTACATTAACATTTACATCCATCTTTCATAATTATCAGATTAAATATACATATTTTCCATGTTCAATTTCCATTGCATTACATTTTAGAGGGAAAATTATTTAAACTGTGAGTTTTTAAGTAAAATTAATGATATTTTGATGTCGCTTTTACGAGTAACTAGCACAACCGTATCATTCAGTATCTGTTAACAGAGCTGTGTGGTTTCTTGATTTCAGATGTTTTATCATCAGGTTAGATGACTCCATCAGGATCTAATTCATTGAAAAAGGAGTGTTTATGTTGGATGTTTACTGATCTTAAGGATTGTTGGCCTATTGTTAGGGGTAGTTTTACTACTTTTTTTAAATCAGGGGTTGACCGTTTCACCCAATTTCACCTAATGTTCGATTATTGACTTCTAGTTGGGTAAAAAAAGTTTGATACATATTCATTCTTCTCTATATAAAGTCGGAGAACTCCTTGGTAAAAGTTCTTATTTGTAGCTAGATAATACACAATACATTTTATTGATAAATCAGTGACTGAAACCAATCTAAAATTTTATTTATACTTCATTGTGGCAGCCATCCAGACAAGAGAACATTGAACAACTATGTTAAAGGTCATAAGTTTGAAATATAACAAAAATTTTAGCCTCAACTGCGATTATCAGTAGTGAATGCAGATTAAAAAGGTCTGCGTGAAAATCAAACAATTAAAACAACATTGCCATTTGAATTAAACAGTGCAGTATCCAAAATCAAAATATAATTTGGTCTAAATATAATATTTTGTATCCTGTGAAGCATAAACTTATCAGTAGTATATTCTCCTAAAACTAATGACAAAGTCACCCTATACGTTGCTTGGTTACTGGATAGTAATCAATTTCATATTGTTTAGTCTGAAGTGCTGACTGAATTCATTTGATCATTTTTGCAACGTGGTCACCAAGCTAGGAGGCTCATCATCGCTGTGAACTTTGAAGGATTTCAGGTGGTTGGAGGTAACTGGCAGTAAGCCCTGAACTTAGGTTTCATTCTCGGTGACACTCATCAGGAAGCTCAAAACGTAAGTCTTATCGCTTGTCGCCATACAACTAATGTATACCTTATTTCAGAAATAAAGCATACATAAGACTGTGTCTGATTCAGAAGTGATTTTTGTAAATAGATCTGTGGACTGAATCGTCATGCTTTCTTCGAAGTTGGACGTCAAGGAAGTGAAATTTTGAGTTCAATTCTTCTTCTTGAGTGAATCTGATAAAACGATGAGCTCTACTGAAGGTTTGAAGCAGGTTTTCGAGTTTCGTATTCTCGTCACAAATAGTAGAGGTGTCATCTATGTATCATTGTCACACATGAAGCTAGCCGATTATTTTCCATAAGGTCATGTCTTCCATGCTTGTCATAGGACAGTCAGCTAGGAGGCGTCCTAGAGGTGATCCCGTTCCCACACCATCTATCGGTATAGATTTCGTCACATCTGAATGGCACGTTGAAAGTACATCTGAGACAAAGTTCTGTTAAGTAGTGATTTGGGATACCAGTGCTTGATTTATAGAACTGAATGAAGCCGCACAGAAAACAAATGGTTTCTGTCAGTGGGGCATTTGTAAATCGAGAGATGACATCCAAAACAATCATCCTTTTTCCTGACAGACTGATATTGTTGATTGAAACGACAACATGAAACATATCACAGAGGCTACGCTTCAAAATTTCATTATTCACTGGATCCAGTATCTTGATGAGCCACTTTGCATGTGAATGGTGAGGAGAGCTGGTCATTTCTAATATCTGAAGAGAGGGAACACCTTGTTTGTGTAGTTTAGATAGACGATATAGTGGAGGAGTCGAGGAACCTGATGAACAGCTTTTTTCATAGAGTTCAGTTCTATTCAGTGCTTCATTTTTCATTTTCTCCGATGTCATGGACAACTGATTGTTTATTTGTTTGGTAAGGTATTTCTTAACGAGGTGTTTTGGAAATTTGATTCCCTGTAATAGAGAAAGTGAAAACTTAACTATCTAATCAGATTTTTTCAGAAGCACTATTCCAGCACCTTTGTGAAATCATTAGATACACACAGATAACAATCAAGTGCAACATAGAGAATTTCAGTTCAAAGGAAACTTTTCCATTTGTAAAACTGGGTTATAGTTAAGACGTTTAACTCTGAAACACTTTCTGGATATTTGAAAATTGCTCCTTTATTTTATTACAGCATGCAGTCAGTGCAATCAAACTATTACTACGACATTGAATGAAGTGTTGAATTTGAGTTTCCAATTAAAATGGGAAAGAAAATTTTTAAATGGGTGTGAATATACAGGTCCATTTCGTGATTATGTAAGTCTGTACTACTCGTCAACTGATTGTTCTTAACTACCTATCTGAAAAGTAGTTTGATCCTCAGTTGTACCCACTGTGGAACACACTGAACGGCGTTCTGAGATGGTTTCCAAAGAAAATCGATTAAATAACTGACTAACCGGCTGACTGTATAGCCTGATCCTTTTAACTGCCAAAGATCGTTTAATAAATATGTTATCGTTTAATACCCTTAATCATTGTGCCATCTTGAAATTTTTCCACTAGAATTTAAGCATTTTTCTAGTTGTTAAACAAAATCCCCCTTTAAGCTTAAACAATAGTAGAGATTTGAAATCGCCCTAAAACACTAGTCGACGTCACATTTATCGCGGATGAAAGTCGGAAAGTTGTAAACCATTTTTTTCATTAGTTCTTAAATTTTTCTAAGTTATGCTATTGAATACTTCAGCTACATCTGGCTGGCAAGTTAGTTACAGAAGATTCTGGACTAATCTAAGTAGTTAACATTTTTTATTCTAGTCAGTAAAGAACTAAACACGGGTGTAACATATTACTCTCAAAGACTATTCAGTTAGTGTCGACTTATAATGCAGCCCGTTTTCAAATTTCTTAACAATTTCCTGAAGATTGTTATGAAAGCGACTAAACACTGATTAAACTATCGCAGCATGTCATCATTTCTCTAAAAATCGGGAATAATTCAGTTGAATACTGTTAGATAATGATACAACACGAAAATATTTGAATAAGCCTTCTTGAAACTAATATTTCGCTAGATTAATGGATGAGGCTATCGAGACTGATAGAACACATACAGTCGCAAATTAAAATTGTTTATTTCATTTATAACAGATAGTGATATAGTATTATTGACTTGATGACATTCTGAGCATAAATAGTCACTGCTCATAATCAAACCAGCAGTCAGCTCGTTGCCTCAAATTCATAGACCTTGAAAAGACCTTCGATAGCATCAATCGAGAAGTAATTTGACAGCTGCTGCTTCATCACTACAGTTTTAGTGCCACAAACCTACATGCACCTCATTCAACAGCAGTTAAATGCTATATCATTGCGCTACATGCTAAGTGATTCACAATGGGAAGCTAAGTGACGCCTTTGAAGTGAAAACAAGGGACAGGAGTAAGACAAGGTTGTCACCTAATATCACCGATCGTCTTCTTGATTGTGGTCAACTGGACTGCACTGAACTGGATCATGCAAGAAACTGTGAGAAGCGAGAAGATAAGCACATGCTGGCTGGGTAGATGAGAAGACCCCAGAAGAAGATTCGGATTTCGCCAACGATGATATATGTCTAATATCTCATGTCACACAAACTCGAAGATGTGCATGCGAAAACTAATCAGTCGACAGAAGAGACAGGACAGCGAAGGAAGATGGGACTTCTTTCAAGTGGAAGTAGAGGAGACAGAGTTGATGAAGATATCCAACCAGTAAAAACAGAAGCACCAATCACCATCAACGCGAGAAATCTGAAGGAAGTTGTCTCTTTCACCCACCTACCTACACAGCATCGTCTCAAATAAAGGCGGTAGCTTAGATGAAGACGTCAAAGCCAGGATAGAAAAGACAGCAACACAGACCTTCCTTCATTAGCCTGAAATCTATGTGGTCTACTGCACTGCACTTTACTGCACTCAGCAACAAGCGCGAACAAGATCCGGATTTTCAACACTAAGTCAGTCAGGTCAGTGATTCTATGTGGTGGCTGAAAGACTTGATGCGTTACGAAAAGTATTTCCAACAGACTGTAGACATCATACATCAACAGCTGCCGCCTACGCTAACTCAGTACTGAAGATCGGTCAGATGACCAGAATGATCAGAATAACCAAAAGGAAGTCTAACTGGCAACGAACCAATCAAGAACCCATTGCCAAACAAATGTGCAGGAGAAGAAAGTGGAGATGGACTGGACTGGATTGGACATAGACTGAGAGGAATGTTTTGGGATATCACGCACCGGGCCGGACTGTTAAGTGGAAGCCAAATGGGAAAGCACGAGTTGTGCGTGTGAAGGTGACATGAAGGAGACGGTCTGGTGAAGAAATGGAAGCATCGAAACAGTGGTGGAGCCAGGTTAACAAGACTGCAAAGAATAAGGTGAAATGGTGGAATGCTACTCAATCCGCAAGTTCCACTAGGAACCTATGGGACAAATAAAAAATAATAAAAATAAATGAAATAATGTAACCACACTACTTTCGACATCTGATTTTATTGTCCTGTCACCACATCATTCTTTGATTTTATCGATAGCAAAATCTTACATATCTCTAGTGTAGGTGCTGCATCATTGTGTTGGGTGATGTTTCATTCGATGAACAAACACTCAATATTCAATCTCTCTTTCTCTCTGTATCTCTACCTAATTATATTTGATTTAAGTATAGTGGTTCCATCCCACACATTGTATTGTGTGGTTGTCTGTGAATCCATGCATTGCAATAGTCGAGTGTTTTTCTAGATTATTGATGTTGTTTGAGTCTGTCATTCTATTTTCAGCTAAATTCCTATGTTCAGTTCATCTAATTGATCCCGACTGGCTAGTATGGCTTGCGTATCGTACCTCATAGTCATTGCAAGGAATTCGGTAGATCAGATTATTTTGTGTAATTGACTCTATCAGATCCTAAGGCCAACAAAGATTTCTCTGAATGCGTTTGTAGGTTTAAATGTCACCCAATTCCAGCTTCGATGAGGATCATATGTAAAGTTTCCCATGTTCCTTTATTGTGAGGGTGACACAATTTAGGCTTTGAACTTATTTCCACTCGTGTTGTCTTTATTGTTCATACTTGTCTCACTATTATTATTCCGTTTGTGAAGTATCCTTAAGAATTTCTTGATAAATAGTAGAGGTTTATTATTAACCCTTCTCTTAGGCCTTTCAATTCCTTGTTTAAGTCCTTACAATGACTACTGAGTTTCTAGCTGCATCATTAAGACATTTGAATAAACCTTGCTTAACTGAAATTGGATGAGATAACTTGAAGTTTAGATACCTGTTAGAATGTGTCAGTTTCCTGTGGACGGTAGTATTCAAACCAGTGTCCATCAGTCGTTTTATTCTGCAATTCAACGTATGTAATTCTTCTTTCTCGCTTTCTACCTTGTAAGTGGATGGGATTGAGTATATTACTGAGTTTATGTACATGAGGAAATTGTTGATATATTCCGCTGAATTCTTAGGCAGTCTAAAATAAGATGAATAACTTACTACGAATCTCTATTGTGTATCATAATCCAGATAAATATGCAATCAGTCTGTAATTTTTGGATCCTATCATTGATGAATGTTCTACAAAGGCTGACCGAAGTGATGAAATACCCATTTATATTTAATAAGATCCATTTTTGACAAAGTACTACTATAAGAAATGAAATAATATGTGTAAAGCGTATCTTATTAGACAAAATTCATTGTTTTCAATGAGCTGTTGATGATTCAATCTTGAAGAGATGATAGTTATGAAAAAATTCCACTTTTGATAACAAATATACGTACTTTAAAGTATGCATGATTTATGTTCACTCAAATGAACTTAATATTGTTAAACTTTTGAATTTCATAACATACATCAACACCAGTACAACTTCACCACGAAAGTAGCTGTATGTAAGTATCGAAGCTTAAGTATTTTTATCTCATCCTGATTTGATTAATCTGTCTGTAAGCATGTAAAAGTATGATGTCACTATTTATCTATGATATTCTGCTTCCGTATTTTTCGAAGAAGGGTTCAGTGGTGTGACCAGTTGGTTCTCTTTGTTAGGAAAGGTTATACTGAGGTCGCTTCGTCTACTTGATTCGATTTCGATGTCAAAATGAAAGATGGAAAATGGTTTTTGTTCAACTTACCAGAACTCTACAGTTAAAGGTGAATCGTTCGTCATGTATGATCTACTGTTTGCTGTTGGAATCGAAATTTTTCTTTGATTAATTATTTAAGTGAAGCTTGGTCAGGAATATGATAACCAATAATTCATTCTAGTTAGATCCTTGTGGAACGGAGGTGATGAAGATAGCCAACCAAAAACAACATACATCAATCACCATTTACAGGAGAAACCTGAAGGGAGTTGTCTCTTTCACCTACCTGCCTAGGCATCAGCGTTCCAACTACAGGCGGCACACACGACGATGTCAAAACCAAGATTGGAAAGACAGCAACACACACCTTCCTTCAGTAATCTAAAATCAGTGTGGAGATCGACTGCACTACACTACACTACACTACACTACACCGCACTGCACTGCACTACACTACACTCCACTGCACTGCACTCAGCAACAAGCATGAATAAGATCCGGATTTTCAACACCAATTCAGTCAAGTCAATGCTTCTGTATGGCTCAGAAACTTGGCGAGTCACCAATAGCATTTCCGACAAACTACAGACATCACACATCAACAGCTGCCACCAACACTCACTCGATACTGACAATGAAGATCAGATGGCCAGGTTAATGAGATTAAGCAAGAAGGAACTCAGGCTGGTAACGAACCAACCAAAAACCCATCACCCAACCAATATGTAGGAGAAGACAGTGGAGATGGATTGGATTGGGGATACACTGAGAAAGTTATTCGGGGACATCACGAGCCAGGTCAGGCCAGGCCGTTGAGTGGAATTGGGAGGGGAAACGACGAAAGTGGTGTCGAAGACGAGAGTGACATGGAGGAGATGATGTGAGGAAGAAATGAAAGCTTGTGGGTAGTGGTGGCACCAGGTTGAAAAGACTACAGAGAAGAGAGTTGAATGGAGGCTTGTTAGTGAAGCCGTATTTTCCACTAGGAACCCAAGGGAAAAATAATAAATAATAATAGATACTTATGGACTGATATATTGTATCTGAGTGAAAAGGATGACATTTCATTCAGGAGAGAGTTTTAAACCTCTCTAACACTTGGGATTTTACATGATCAAGCGTTTTGAAGTTCTTATTCATAAAATTGTGATCATTTTCTCAATGTAGTGAGATGAATGAGGCTGCGTTAGTTATCAGTTATCATTATTAAAATTAATCAATGTACTCATGCACATTAAAGTTCATAATCTTTTCTGTACATTATAGTGTGCATCATTCTTTAGTTCTACAATGTTTAAACTAATCAATAAATTTATGGCAAACATAAAACCGGAACAATTTTGTCAGGTATTATGTGATTTAAATATTTTTATTGTATAAGTCTCATTCTGGACAAAACTGTTTTCAGTAATTTGTAGTGTATCTATAAAAGAATAAATCTCTGTTGAATGTTAACAACAACAGATACAATTTCTCGCCAAGTAACTCAAAATATCTAATGTCGAACAAAGTGATTACCGTCTTCAGATAGTTAGCTTAGCGGTCACCTTGGGATGTGTTAAGTGAACTTCTACAAGTATTTAAAACTTTAAGTATAATTAACGTATAACCTAACAGCCTCTTTTTGTGAATTCATTTGTATTCCATTCACTACTGCTAAGCAATCTTGCCGTATACATAATCTGATATCTGTAAGACGACGTGATTTTTACTTAGGTATTTGAATGAGATGATTAACTTCATGTCAGAACAAAGTCTAGATATTCAATAGTACTAAGTCCACTGAGCACTGTTACACTCACATTCATTTCAGTTATATTCTTCAAAAAAATATGAAATAACTTTAAGCTATCATTTATCAATTTTATTTATGGCATTATTAATTTTGTAACAAAGTTCACATGAATTATGATTTTCAATTTTTATTTTTATGACAAGAATTATAAAGTAAATACTTTAAATTGTATCGTATATTTTTTATTTTGCTTTTAGAACATATTCCTATGTTCTAGTTAGATGTTGTCATGGCGAAGAAAGCACCAAAGTTTACACATTACTAAAACGCTCATATACCTAATAAAGTTTGTCACACTATTTAAATCGTTGTACAAAAGCGTGCTACTGAAATTCATTTTAAGTAGCTTAAATGTTTTATTTAAATACGTGAGGAATATACTTTATGATTATTCCTTATGACAAAAAGTAACAGATACAGATAAATCAGTAATTTTCACCAACTAAAGGGTATAATTTTGATCCCAGGTGTTCAAGAGATCCAAATCAAGATTGTCTTAGCAAGTAGGTCTAACCGACTCAATATATTAAGATGCATAAATCGGATTATCGAATTGAACGAATGAGACATACCGAAATATTGGCTATCCCAATATTTGGCAAAGATAATATCACTGAATCAGAGTTTTGTGCGGGGGCTACTGATTTCAAAGTAGTTTTCACGGTATACTGACGTCAGCACAAGAACCATTCAAACTGAAGGCAGCTGTCAGTTGCCTCATCCTCATTTTGAAATTTCTAGCACTGTGAACTCACGAGTTTGTAGCCGTTCAAGCCAAAAATATTAAAAATCGCTTATAGTCTGGATTAAATTACTCATCTGAAGTGAAAGAAAGAAAAAATAAAATATGGTTAAAATAGTAACGAAGTCTAAGCCGTTACGCTAATCTACCACTCAATATGGAATTAAAAGTAGTCTAAAATGATCTGAACGCTGACGACGGACTCAATGATATCGTTAGAGTACGAACGAAGGAAATATGCAAGAATTAAAGCTATTTGAGATCCTTGTACACTTCGAATTTCGAGAAAAACAGGAAAAGAAATAAGATCTAAAATCTTTATGATCATACCATATATAATCATGGGAAGAAGTCGTTCCGATCATCTCATAGAGGAATTCCGTTGATTAGTTGACCCTTTCAACCTAATTCAGCGGAGCGAATTACCGTATCAAATAACGTGTGATAGCAGTTAGATGGAGTACATAGGTAGTAGTAGCTGATCAAAGTAAGTCAGAATATTGAAGCGCAAAGTTCAGACAAATACCAAGTGTTCGCGAGCAAGTAGCATAAACTAGCTGGCCGATGCACTCGACTTTACAGGAGCAAGTAACCTGGTATACACACACTGATGTGGTCCAATGCTGTAGCTTAGCCTTTGTGTACTGAAGAATACGTTTATAAACAGGTGAATTTGATTTTAAGATTGGCGGCAAAGAGTGTTCTGTTTATGGACCTCGGAAGTCTCTTTCTAAATATACTTACCGTATCATCTCCTTTAACTTCGAGGTCCAACAGAAAAATGGCTTACGGAGTAGTTCGCACGTGTTCTTTGTCATTTTTTGGATTCAGACTATCATCTGTAAATTTCAGCGGCGGTCCATCTCTCATCAAGACATCCTGCAAGTTTTATAGATTATCACGCATGATGTCTCCCCTGTATTTTCTTGAGGAAAGTAAATTCGTAAGATTCCTCTTTCTGATTAAGAGCACACTGCTTTGGAGATTACTAAACTATCCGATCCAAAAGTGATCTTTGTAAATAGATCTGTGGACTGAATCGTCATGCTTTCTTCGAAGTTGGACGTCAAGGAAGTGAAATTTTGAGTTCAATTCTTCTTCTTGAGTGAATCTGATAAAACGATGAGCTCTACTGAAGGTTTGAAGCAGGTTTTCGAGTTTCGTATTCTCGTCACAAATAGTAGAGGTGTCATCTATGTATCATTGTCACACATGAAGCTAGCCGATTATTTTCCATAAGGTCATGTCTTCCATGCTTGTCATAGGACAGTCAGCTAGGAGGCGTCCTAGAGGTGATCCCGTTCCCACACCATCTATCGGTATAGATTTTGTCACATCTGAATGGCACGTTGAAAGTACATCTGAGACAAAGTTCTGTTAAGTAGTGATTTGGGATACCAGTGCTTGATTTATAGAACTGAATGAAGCCGCACAGAAAACAAATGGTTTCTGTCGGTGGGGTATTTGTAAATCGAGAGATGACATCCAAAACAATCATCCTTTTTCCTGACAGACTGATATTGTTGATTGAAACGACAACATGAAACATATCACAGAGGCTACGTTTCAAAATTTCATTATTCACTGGATCCAGTATCTTGATGAGCCAATTTGCATGTGAATGGTGAGGAGAGCTGGTCATTTCTAATATCTGAAGAGAGGGAACACCTTGTTTGTGTAGTTTAGATAGACGATATAGTGGAGGAGTCGAGGAACCTGATGAACAGCTTTTTTCATAGAGTTCAGTTCTATTCAGTGCTTCATTTTTCATTTTCTCCGATGTCATGGACAACTGATTGTTTATTTGTTTGGTAAGGTATTTCTGAACGAGGTGTTTTGGAAATTTGATTCCCTGTAACAGAGGAAGTGAAAACTTAACTATCTAATCAGATTTTTTCAGAAGCACTATTCCAGCACCTTTGTCAGTGCGTATCAGGACTAAGTTTTTCATTTTTCTGAAGATCCTTTTGTATATTTTTATGTCCCTTATATAGGATATGCCGACTGTTGGTTTTGATATTTATTTAATCCATAGGACGATTTGTGTGACTTTAAAAGCCACCCTAACAACTGCCAAAATAACCAGTCAGGTCATGGCAGTAATGGCTTGGAAGATAATTCTTTATAGAAGTGGAAAATGTGATGGGTTGTTTCATCAGTTGCTAGGGTGGCCTTTAAAGTCACTTCAGCAATTTAGAACAGTTGATTTAAAATGGTCAGCATCATTAGATAAGGTTACAACTAGGTGTTTCGTTTGATGAATCAAATTTTTCAGCTGTACTTTTGTGTTGAGCTTATTAATCGAAATGAAGATACCTAATTGGCTGTTTTAGTCTTTTCTGTAGTAGCTTTTAAGTTCTCAAGTTTCTTCTAGTTTTTTTTTTACCCATAATGAAGCCTTCAGAAGAGTAGAGTGACTTTAAACACCACCCTAGCAATGACCAAGTTAGTCAATTAAGTTTTTTCATTTCAGCAGGAAAGGGAGATTTGTATAAAACAAAGAAGTCGAATTGGTTATTTCAGTCGTGACTCAAGGTGACAGGATGAAAGTCTTGAAAACCAATATAATTAGGTGGAGAGGCAGACTGATTACCAAACGTTTCTGCATCAGGTCTGGAGATAATACTAACATCTGTAGTGATTTTGTGCTGATTCCACCTGACTTAAATCTCTTAGGCCACAAAAATTTCGAAAAGAATCAGGAGTTATAAAAATGAGAAAAAAAGTTTATAAGGTATGTGATTGTTTTGAAATGATTAAGGACACAAAAGCTGTATGCAAAACATTATCTAGTGAATAGTGCTTTATCCCTCAATGCGCTACATCAGACAAACAATCTAGCGCGGACCCTCAATATATACGCCGCATGACTGTAGCTAGATAAAGATGAGATATGATTTTCTTATATCTTAGTGTCATCCAAATCCCGTTCATCTTTCAGCTTATAGATAATCTAAGACGATGTATAGTATTCATCAGTAACATGTCAAAACACTATTCAAACAGTCTTTGACGTTTACTAGATGTGTGTATGATTACTGTCGGGTATGATAAGTGAAAGTATTCACACTGACAACTATGCATATGCATGCTACATAGTTACCAGTACACTAGAAAGATGAATAGTTGAGCAGTTTTAAAGTTAAGAGCTACAAGTTAGTTATTGATAACAAATAAGTCGTAAGATACTTGCATTGTGCTTCTTTCTTCAAGGTATTAAGCAAATAACGAATGGTAGTATTTATCGTGGAGCATTTTCACCTCTCTGGATATCGTTGTTGAAGACTATGTCACAGGTATTTCCATTTAAGATGCCTGATTGCAGTATATTCATGCTACTTTTTACTTTGTTCCGTTTGTAATTTAAGCAGCCTTAATAGTTTATCATGTCTAAACGCTTAAGGTTCTGTTTATCACAAACTGAAATCAATTGAAGAACCATTGAATACCTGGGAGCACTAGACAGCTGTTTCGTCCTTGTACGGGGCTCTTCAGCTGCACGCAAAGACGACCACATCAGAGGATGAAACTCGGTGTATTTAAGTTTCATGGGGAACGTGTTAACCATTCAGCCAGTAGGTTGGCTTTCAGTGGTCCACAATGTCCTACTTCTTTCATTTCACCATATACAGTGAATATCCACCAAGGTCTTCAGTTGACATCAACTTCACTTCTGACTGGCTGATCCTTGAAGGTCACGGCTTCATATTAGAACTTTAGGATACCCATTTCCAAGCATGTCAATACTGAACACTAATGCACACTTCTGAGGAGTCTCATATTAGGAAGAAATAGATGTCTAATGCCCCAAAGTTTTTAATGGTTCTCCGACTAATATTGGTTCTTTATGGATACCACATTAAAAAGTAAAATCCCCATAAACCTTCATCTATATTACTTAATGTTGTGTCTAGATTCGATAAAGCATCCTTGAAATCGAGAAGTTTTCTGAAAAGAACAATCTCATATTTGTTACTCGAAGCCAAATAGTAACTATGACTAGTTTGGTCAACTTTAAAAACCTGTTAGTTCAAAATGCACTGTTATCTCGCTTGGTAAATATAGCTGTAGAACCCAACTAATATGAAGCCGACTGTTCCATATTCATTCGTATAATAAATAGTTGGGTGGATGAAGACTGAGTAAAGAACTGAAGATTCCAGGTGGTCTTTTTAACTGTTCTTCTTTTCTTACAAGCAATACATACACATAGTTTTTTTGTAAGCATTTACATTAGGCACTCGATCAGTACCTAAATCTACAGTCAGTCACACATTTGCAGCATATCCTTTTTATTGTTATCGACGGTTTTCAATTTTTACGTTAGGTCTGTTTCTCATCAGTCGATAAGATTATTTGAAAATCATTGAGTCTAGCATGCGGAAAATGTATAATCTGTGGCGAATCACTATTCGCTTCGTTGAACAGAATTAGATTTTGAAGAAGTCTTAGAAAGGTCAGAGTATAACATAAAATTGT